GCTCAGATTTTGACCACAGGAGGGCTCCAAGGTTTCATGAATGCATATGGAAACCTTTTGAGAAAGGCTAGAATTAGATGATGAGGGACAGAAAGTGAAAGCCATGGAGGTGCACTGTTAGTTCAACCAGAGATCTACAAGCCCAGCTGAGCATGTTTCATATAATGGCTTTTTTCTTAAACAAAGAAGAGAAAAAACAAGAACAATTTTTCTGCAAACATATTTTTTCTCTACTGTCTTAAAAGGATCATAAAAATGTCAGTAGTTAGGTCGTCAAACATTAGTATTTATTCTGGTGTTACCAATAAGGAGGATCTTAGAAAATTTTTTTTTCTTTTTTTTTTTTCTTCCTAACAAAGAGTGTTTGGGGATTCAATGTTGATCACATGGGAAAAGACTGATCACATCTGCCCCAGCTGTAGCCCACACAGGTTAGATACATCCCAGGAGAAATAACACATCATCTGTCACCTGCTTCCTACTGTCTTTTTCTCTAGACTCTGCAGAGGTGTACAGTAAGTGTACTACAATCCTGAGTACAGCAAGGGGCCTGTGGCCAAGGGACAACTGTTCATGTGGCACTACCATGGAGAAGGAAGAGGATGTAGTTACTGTCAGTCAACCCAGAACACCATGTCCATGCACCCAAAACACATCCCAAAGGCCAACTAGAAACATGGAAAAGACTACAAATACAAATGACAACGTGCATCCAGCAGAGAGCAGGTGAAACTACAGCCATCAGCAGTGTCCTAGAGATGGTGTTGGGTGGAAATGGGCCAATGGGCAGAGGTGATCTGTCACAGTCAGTGCTGAGATAGAACCTGAACTCTGGCTCATCTGGATTGGCTCTGAACTTTCTAGTCCCAGGAATGAAACATGACATTAAGGATAGCTAATTTTCTCTGTTTTTAGCAATGGTCTAGCTGGTCATGGCATGCGTGGAGATTCGTCAGAGTTTTGGCATTCTACCTTCATGGACATTAAATGCTTTAGACAAAGACATGTACCTGGGTAAAGGCCACCAAATTAAATACTCTGAAGAGGCTTTTTATCTGCAAAACTGGCCCTGGGTTTTAACTGCACTGGAAAAGAAAACGGGGATATATCAGGATCTTCCACATCCTCTTCAGATTAAGTGTGTAAGACTTGACAGAGCTAAGAGCTGGTAGGCTAACACTAAAGCTATTTGCAGATGATTAACAGATCAAAGCTGAAATAAAACAGGGAGGTCAGCAGAAAAAAAAAATTGCTGTGTAAGAAGATAAGAGAAGTTTCCCATTTCAGGAGACAGAAGAGGTTGAACAGGTTGAAGGTCCAGGAGATGCTGCCAGAAAGGGACTGGAGCTAGAGATTTATCTGGGGGTGTGCAAAGTTCCTGTTCCCTCTTCATCCAGCCTCTTCTGATATATCAGTCCTCCCTGTAGAAAAGAAGAAATAATTCCCTACTTGCTGCACACAGCCAGGAAAAAAAAATCCCCTGAAAAGGATTTAATCCTTTTCTGTTCATGGTTTATGATGTTGAATAATCCCACCTCTTTTCTAGTAAATTCCAGTTTTAAGGTCAATCAGTTACAGCTGTGTTAATCCACAGTTATTAACTTGATGATGTCTCCATGGTGAAACCTGCAGATGAAACCTGGGTGACCTCCCTCTGCCTTTCCCTACCATGTTTAGAAAATGCTAGACAAGGTAAGGCAGTAAGGTAAGGCTCCACAACAACTGCACACATACCATGGATGCTGTAAGCAGGGCAGGGATTTTCCTTTGTGAGGGCAGGTCTGGATAAGTTACGTCCCAAACTTTTGTAAAGGGAAAGAAACCTGTGGGTTTTTTTACTGCAGCTGACTGCTAAAGCAATGCTGCTTTTTATGTCAACACACATTTTAGTAAATGTTAGTTTGTACTCTGTAGTGACAGGCTGTTTGCAGTAACCTTGGGAATACTGCTCTTATCTTGTATTTACACAACAAGTGCAAAGAAACGAGATTAGATATTTTTCCACAATGTTTAAAAAAACCTTTTTTCTCCTCTCTTGAACAAGGGCTGAACTTTAAACATTTCAAACACATTTCCCTCATTTGGAAGACGTACAGTTAACGGGGTATTAATCATTTACTGGCAGGTCTGTCCTGGTCAGGTTATACTTATATTTTCATGACTATACCATGTCTCTTAGGTCAAGTGCAACAGTGGTCTGAGACTGCAGTAAGGGAAATTGAAACTAGTCAAAAAACCGACCTTGACTAGGACCACATACAGGATAGACAGACAAGTACTGTGGCATTTCTCTGGGATACAGAAGGACTCTGGTAAGGAACCAGGCCTCCAAAAGCATTTTGATGCATGGGATTTGATAAAAAAACCAATTCAGCATTATGTACTGCCTCCAAAGGAAGGAAATTTTGCTTCTCTTGCCCTCCATTCAAATTTTATTTCAGCCACATGATTCTGAAGCTTTTGCTTTACAGAATTTACCTTGTGCTCTCCTGTCAGTGACAGCACTACCAGAAATTATTTCAAAATGTCACATACTAAGCCTGGCAGAGGAGTGCCGTGACCAGCTTTACAGGCCATACTATATGCATGCCCTTAAACAGAATATCCAACCTCTCCAGTTTCATCCATGCCTGTGGTAACAGCAGCCTCCCAGATGTGTTGTGAAGTTTCATTTGTCTCTCTGTGCCAAACCAGCTGCATAAACCCAGCTGCCCTAAGTGCCAAATTCTTTGGAAGAGCACTGTACTGGAGCAGAGAGGAAGTGGCAGCTCTGCAACACCCACACCCTCCCCTGCACTGGGAAAGCCCAACTGTATCCCTCTCTCACAAGGGAGAACAAGTGAATTTGCCCTTCTGTTGGTAGAGGTTTGCATGTTTTCTTAAAAAAAATATATAAAGGGGGAATTTTCTCAATTGCACTACAAGCAGTAGGAAAGCCCAACTTTATCCCTCTTTCACAAGGGAGAACAAGTGAATTTGCCCCTCTGTTGGTAGAGGTTTGCATGTTTTCTAAAAAAAATATATAAAGGGGGAATTTTCTCAATTGCACTGCAAGCAGTATCTCTTCTGTCTCCTGCAGAAAAGAGCCAAGGTGATCTGCACAGAAGTGTCATACAAATTTAGAGGTAGTTAAAAATGTTTGATGGGGATGCGAGACTGAAGGGAAGGATTGCTGCAACATCAGTTCCTGCCGCTACAATTTTTTTTTCTTTCAGTCAGGTCCTGCACTCTGTCCTCACTGTCCAAGATGGAAACTGCCCAAATTCCTTTTCTCTCCTGCAGCTAGAAACACCTTCACAGGGAACCCCCTTCAGCTTTCCTGAAAAGGTTTTTGCTTCCTGGCTGTGTGCAGGAATTAGAGAGCTATTTCACCTGTTGTACCTGACAGACAGATGTACAGGAAGAAACCAAATGCAAGGGAAACAGGGACTTCATAAACCTGCCATGCATGTGTATTTTCATTTGTAAAGTCTAAAAATCTTCACACGTTCAGCTGACCAACTGTTTACATGTAAAGCACTGAGAGATAAGGGATCATGCTGTGGAGCAGCCTCCAGGGACACAGCAAGATTGGCCTAATTACACATGGTTATTACTCACACTAAATCCATGTGAATTCTGGAGAAACCTTCACAAGATGGCACAGACCTGACAATTAAATATTTTCATTTTCTAGTTCATCTAGAGATGAAATTGCTTTATAACACAATGCAAACTGATCTGCTGTTACCAAACCAGAACCAACATTCAAAAAAGTGCAGAAACTGTTGAATATTGTACCTAACTCCATAATGAGGCTAAAGGCTGGACATGGAAAAGAGCAGCAGTAGAAGTCTCTAACCAAGAGAAACAGCAAGTAGAAAGTCTCTAACCAAGCTGTTAGCTGACCAGGACAGAACATAATCATAAGTCATTAAGTACCCTGGTACTGTCAGAACAGGATGGGGACTTTTCCTTTAATTTCACCATTATGACCATTGATGCTGGTCAGGTTACTTGACCTGCTTTCAGTGCTTATCTGTTAAGGATATGTGACTGTGGAAAAGGGGTTAAAAAAAGCAACAGTTTCCTGTAGCAGGGTTATTCTAGTTGCATAACTACATCTGAAGGATTTTTCCCAGAGCAAAAGGACTTTGCCAGGTGTGCAGGACACCACAGCTTTTGTCATTGTGGCAGTTGCTCAACTGAACTGCCTCTAATCCACTGAACATGCCTCAAATTTACATCACCAAGTGCAAACAGTAATTACCCAAATCCTCAAAAATAGTGTTTGCTTGACAGAAAAATTCAGCGCTTGTTCTCCTCAATGTACCTCTTGCTGAAGCCAGAGAAATAGCAAGAAAAGGCAACATGTAACAGAAACAAGTGGTATTTCATCTTTTCAAAATGGTCTAACAGCACTGGAAGGCAGAAGGCTTCCTTCCCTCTGGCCTAAGCTAACATTCACCCTGAAAACTACCAGAGGCAAATTACAAGTTTCCTTTAACATACCTGTTGTTCCTGCAGGGCTCATGTTCCTCAGAGAGATTTACAAGGCTTTAGTTTTTGTGTTGATAAGGCATCTTTCAATGGGAAAAGAACCCATGTCATGCACAGAAGTCACCACAAATATTTCTCAGCACAATTATTTCTGATAATGCAGTAAATAAAACAGCAACACCATGCAAGAACATGGAACCAAAGGCTGAAGAGAAGTAAATTATTAGTATTTACTGTCACAGTAAGAAACTCAGTCAAAAAATTGATGTTTCCCTATACACTAATCACCACTGTGTAATGAAACCAAGAGTTAAATTGTCCCTCCCAGCCATTTTCAGTCACTAATTACATTTCAGAAGCAAACTTCTCTGAACACAGTATTATTTTTCAGAGCTTAAATGTTCCTTTGGTATAAATTTAATGTTATTTTGGGAGAAAATAAAGTAATTACATAATTTGCTCAATTTGATTAAAAACCCAAAAACTCAGAGCAACAGATTAATGTCAAAGCAAAACAGCAGTGGTGGTCTTTAGTTTATTTTATGAACTACCACATTAAATCATCACTAAAGTTCATGTTGAAGGAATTAGGTCTTAAGAGAAAGTTCTTTTAAATCCAAAGGAAATACCCTTTGTAGTACATGTAAGAACATAAAGTTTATCATGGCAAAAAGCCCTGCTGAAAGCTTACAGGAAAATATTTCTGTGCTACCAGACAACCACAAGAGACAATTTTTAAGTTGCAAGAATAGGATGTTTCCCGTAGCTTTGTGCAGTTATTAGAATTTCCATCCTAATATTCTGGAGGTATTACAAAGTATTCAAGTTTCGCGCTTTATTAAATTAAACAGAATTAGGCAGACAGAATAATAAATTTTTGTCTGATTACAAGAACTTTATTATCTATGTCAACATGATTAATTCCAGTTTACTGCTTTCTCTTAGATGGATGCTACTGGGATGCAAGTTGCTGTTGCACTAGATTAATTTTACTTAGGAGAGCCTGGGTACTCATCTGTGTACATGGCTGAGATGCTTTCCAGCCCTTCCCTCTTCCCTTCAGCAACTGCAGTCCTCAAGGAGAAAAATGACACAACTTCATAGAGAGAGGGAAATGTGTAAGCCCAAATGAAGGCTTTACAATAATGTCATTAGTGGGTTCAGCCTCAAAGGCATTCTAAACAATAATTTCTCTTTTACATCATCTAGGTACACTAACACTAATGCTCCATAACATATGACTTCTATAAAAAATCCTTTCCACAGTTCGGAAGCAGAGCCAAGTGATGTCAGGCATGGGGTACCCCTGCTAGCTCATGGCAGCAAGCATCCTCCCATTCCAGCTCTCCCCCTATAGCAAAGCCTAACCAGTAATGACTGCTGTGGGTGTCTTTTTTTTTGTGTCATTGCAGAGTACTAGGGCAGGGCACCTGGGCCCCTGGCACTCCTCTTACCAGAAAACCTAAGCTCTTGAGAAGGGCTCTACCCAGTAAGAGATCTGTCAGCACTCAGCTGCCCGCAAGCCCCTCTGAACATCCCTGTGAAAGGAAATCAAAACACATTAAAAAAACTGAATGTGTGGTTTATTATATTTAAGATGCTATTTGCCTATAGTGTTTAAATATCTCTGTCACACAGTTATCAGTAAATGAGTGTAATTTTACATGTTCAGTATTTTGATACACAGTACAGGACTACAAGTGTGGTAAAGGAGCATGAGAAATTAATATTTCCTTGATGCACGCATCAAACCTTGCAGCACCACTTAAAAGCTCAGAGTAAGGACTCAAAATGCAGTATTACAAGCACTACTAAATCAACCAAGAGACATACCTATATTAAACATTAAGAGAAACAAAACAAATGACACAAAGGTTTAACATTTAAGATTTGATACAGGATTAAAATACTAATATTTTTAATGTCCTGGCTTCAAATTAATAAATATAAAAACAATATAAAAATATACACCAGTTGATAAAAGGATGCACTGAGTAAGGTTAGAAAGCTAAATTTCACTTTCAAACGTATGCAGGTATGTCTTTAGGGAGAGGATTTCTGTGTAGCTGCGGCTGGTCTTTCGGAAGAAGTCCAAGCTAGTGAGCTGTTCAATGTCACGGACACGCGCAGTGTGCATCTTAAGGAGATCTTCAACCCACTTTGACTCATCCTCTGAGCTCTGGAGAAAAAAAAAAACAAACATTTATCACAAGTCTTGTCAAAAATTTTGTCCAAAAGCAAATGCAACTTGTCTACACATTTGTTCCAGATCTAAAGAATCTCTGTGCCTTATTCAAAAATTAATAAGGTAAATGAATTCCAAGAAAATAAATTTGACACCGTAAAATGTAAGATGAATCCTGCAGTTTTATTTCATTACCCCACTTATGATGGGGTTGACACAAAGACCATAATCATCTGGAAAAAGCTAGCCTCAAGCTTCAGGTGTTTCAGAAGAACAGCTATAGGTTTTTAGATGATCCACTGGTCACTCCATGTTTTTCTATCTCACAGAAGGAACTCCATATTAATCACTTTTGATTTACCAAAGCCCAAGCTCTAGGCTGTTTGACTTTGAATTCTACGCCTACACATTATTCTCAATTGACCATCACAATATCTAACACAGTAATATTTTAGTATTTCCATTTTACTTTTAGGGGACCTTTACAACTCATTACACAGCTGAGACAATGGTTTATGTAGGTACCTAAAAACTCCTGTGATTGGAACATACATATTATTCACTGATAGAAAAATGAATTTCACCAAGTGCTTCCTGATACAAAGAAAAAAAAAATCAGGAAGGTCATGCTGCCAGAGTGTTTGGGGTCAGGTTGTGTTCTCTTAGGGGACAGCTGCTGCCTCATGCCTTGTGCCAGCACCAGCACATGTTGGAGTCATCCACAAACTAAAGCAACTTGCAAACACACCAGAAAATCAGCCCTGCAAAACACTGCAGTGACTGGCTGTTTGTGTGCCTTAACCAACATGAGCCACGAGCATTGCACCCAGGCCTGGGGAAGGCACAACAGGGTCCAGACATGGGAAAAGGACAAAGCAAACAGGACTTTTCCCCCTTTGGCCCCTCTGGCTGGTACCTGTACACCACTGCTGGGGAAGAAAGGAACGGTGGGCTGTATCTTGGGTATTTAGACTTCATGTGTGTGACTATTCCTGAAATGAACCTTTTTCCTGACTGTCTCAGCAATGTCCCCCTACCAAATGGTCCTCTCATAGATCAAGACTAAACTCCAGCAATGCCAGAACCTATCCAGTGCAGTAGCTGAGCCACAGAGCAAGAAGTGGGTCACTGACAAAAGGCAGGGGGGTGAGGTGATCGTTTGCACAGAGAGGACACGAAGTCCCAGACAGATCACAGCTGGCTGCTCTAAAGCAAACGTCCGTGACCTAGTCAGAACCTGTTTGGTTCAAAGCTCTCAGCCCCAAACCAGCTTTCCTGTCCTACCACTAACAACCTGAGCACCAAAACCAGGTCTGGAACAAGAAAAGAGAGATGCAAATTAAGAGAGAAGAGGAGGGAGTGCGTCCTGCTCACTCCCTTTTGCCTGCAGTGCCGTGCTCTGGGGATGCCACCTGGCAGCCTGCAGCCACAGGAAGCCCCTGCTCAGCCTCCAGCCTGGCAACCAGGAGTTTGCAAACAGGCCTCAGCAGGGCTGCCAGCCCAAATGCAGCCACTGTGACATTTCTGCTTTCTTCAGGCCTTTCTTCTGAGCAGGAAATCGGCAGAGCTCAAAAGAAAGTTATGAGCGAGCTACAAAGTTCACTTGAATATAAGCATTTTGCAAAAGATCTGCAAAATGAATAAATCACAGGATGGGGAGGCTTGTTTAACCTAGTTCAGCAAGATAGCACTTGCATGACTCCAGAAAATCAATCAACTGATCTATTTTATTTTTTCCAACACACAACCTGCCCATGAAGCCTCATGCCCACCTACAAGGATTTTAAATATAGTGATCAACTAACATAGTTGATCACAAGTTGAACATTGTTATATTACCATATAACAATGAATGAAGTGTATACATTTTAAATGACAGCTTTCTCCAGCTTTAGTGCTTAGTCTCACCTCAAAAATAAGGAGAGTTTTAGAAGGAAAAGCAACAATTAAAAACATGGAGATAAATAGGAAGAGGTGATCAATTATGAGGCTAACACAAAATCCAGTGGAAAAAATACCATATATTCTGCACAAGAATCTCTCTGAATATCAACTGGAAAGCTGAACATGATGCGTGTAGACAGGTGGGTAAGGAACTGACTTATGCAAAGAAACTTAAATGTTTTGCTGAAAGACAAACAGTGGCCTGGAGGAATTTTCTGGTAGTTTCTAGGGTTCCTTCAACTTTGGTCTTCGTTGACTTAGATTTTTTGTAATGTTTTCACACTTGCTTCTTGTGCCAAGGTCATTAGTTGCTAGCAAAACCCCCTACAGCTGGGAACTCCTGTCAGTGCAGAGGAAGACAGGAATAGCACAGTGGAGCGTGCAGATGCAGGAGCTCTCAGGACAGAATGGAATTGGGTTATCCAAATTGACAGGCAGAAGAGAAGGACCAGAGTGTACCAGTTGTGCATGAATGTGGGCCACTATTATAACACAGCTATGGAAAAAGCAAATTATAGGTAGTATCAGAGGAGTTGTGTCCAGTGGAAAGAAAACCATTTTCATTTTGAGATCTAAGCTGCAGTACTTATCATTCATGAAAAAAAGATTAGACTGGATGAAATGTGTAGGAAGTCTCTTCTACCAACAGTCTCATCCTCTCTTACAAGAGCAAAAAAGATCCTGGGTCTTCTATGAATAGAGGGAAGTTATTTGCCTTGAGATTCATCATAAATCATCTCTAGGGTAAATCCCAGAGAAGGGCTATTTAAGACATAGAAAAATGTTGACATAAGAATAAACGGGCATAACCTCACCATGAATAAACACCGCTTAGAAAAGGAACAAATTCAGATGAGAAGAGTGGTGGTGTTCTTCAACAGCTGTGTGAAGAGAATGTGTGTACAGCTAGAGCAGAGCACAGGGAAAGCTAATATTTCTTCAAATCTTAAAAGAAAACGGTGGAAAGGGTAAGGTAAAATCCCTATATTATCCCACACATTTCATCCATGAAGTATGGTGAGGTTTTACACAATCACTTCTTTGAACAAATAAGATGGAACACCATGTGCAAAAGCAAGGCTGATGATGGATTTCAATAGCAGAAATTTGCCTAACTGTATTTTCATTCAAGAGCAACATTTAAATATTTTGGAGTGGTTCTTTGCTATATAAAAGGCATGGGCCAATATCTGCTAATGACCTTGCAGAAGCACTGAAGATTCTCTCAAACTGTAAATACATACACTATATGTATTTGCAAGTAAGCATGACTTACAGAGAAAGGTGGTTTGAAATGAAAGAAATCAAATGGCTGGTTTGAAATATAAGAAATCAAAGACTAAAAGAGACCATTATTGTAAAGACATCATAAAAAATATTGCAGCTTTTTAAGAGAACTATAACACACAATATAAGGAGGAAAAAATAGATTACTTTGTCATAAGATTACATATGGGCAGAGTTGCAGCACAGAGACACTAATAACTACCAAAATAGTAATTTCCACATCACTAACTGGATCTTGATTCAGAGAAAAGCAGTCCAGGAAAAAGCCGCAATGCAATATATGTAGGACTTCCGAAGACTTCTGGTGAAAGACATCTCTGCCCAAAACAGTTGATATCCAAACAGGGCCAGACCTGCTCAAGAGAGAGGGATACTTCTCTAAAAGCATGGGCCCTGAAAGCAAGCAATGTTTGATGAATGAAAAAGAATCAGTGTTCAAGGTCAATTGTGCTGGTTGGAATAGTTGGAGTAACTATTTCTGCTTGTAGCTGGAACAGGAATTTTAACTTTTTTTTGCCAATACAAAATTTATAACATTAATGCATTCTTTCAGGAAACGGTTATTTGATGAGTGAGAAAGAAACAGTGTTCCAGGTGAATTGTGTACAGAGTTGAAATGACTATTTCTGCCTGTAGCTGGAATAGGAGTCTTAACTTTTTTGCCAATACAAAATTCATAACATTAATGTGTTCATTCAGGAAACAGTCTCCTGGCAGCCCATAGTGAAGTGTCTGTGTGCAGGAATCCACACAGCTGTGTAATGGGAGAACAAGTTCAGGCGGAAGGACAAGTCTAAATACAGCTGCCTGGGAGCTCTGCTGTCCTTGCAGAGTGCCAGAGCCCACGGGGGACCCAACACCCTCCTGCCACACCATCAGCTGCCAAGTGTGCACTTTCTGCAGTGCTGGCCAGACCAAAGCCTTCATTAAGATTCCTACAGTAGAGGATCTTGCATCCTAATGGAAGATAGAAAAGACACCAGGAGGGTATTTGGCCATCTCTGTAATAAGAAGCCAAACGTTTCCCTTGAATCAAGGTGTTCTGGAAGCAGCAAGAATTGGCACTCTACCCTTGGCAGGTTATAGCATATACTTTCAATACTGTGTGGGTTGGATGTAATCATGCTGACTGATGCACCCAGACTGCTGTAGCAGACAGATTGCATTGTATCTGCAAATGGAAACTGACCTCCATAAAAAACATCAGGCTGGGTGCCAGCCCAGTATGTTTATACACTCAGCCTCCCCCCAGTCTGCTCTGACAAAATGTAGAATCCTACAGGCAAAAAACAATACTGCCAACCTACTGTATGTCAGTTCTTCCAGACAATTTTAGGTGCAGTAATAATTCCATACTTTTGCTGCTATCATGGAGGACTGCTTTTGTCTAATGAGCTACTGCCACTTCAACAGAGGCACAACCCTGTGCTTCCCATTCCACACATTAGTGAATGCTTGCTCCTAATTGTAACTTCCACATGTCTCAGGGACATGTTTACCATGGGCTGCAGCAGTGCAGCTGAACTTACATTGCAGCTCTCATCGTTGTCAGGCCGGTGGGGAAGGATGTATGAGAGAACAGAGAGTGGTCCATCACACTTGTCAGCTGGCTGAGTGAAATCTAAGCAGCTGGTTATGATGGCATAGTAATGCGTCGGAACAGGGATTGCACTGCCTTCCACAAACCTGGGGGAATAAAGCAAATATTTATCCACAAGGGATGAACTTGTTTGGAAGAAGGTTACACAAATGACATGGTCTTTCCTCTCCTACGTGTGAGGACGCACATACATTGTTGAAATGTGTTTGATTCCTGAACATTACTGAAAGTGAGCATCCAATCAGCTCACACTGTTCTACCGAAATACCTCATGCAGTGCTGAAAGGCTTCTTCAGTTCAGAGACATAGAGAGAACGCATTACTGAATTAACAAAAGACTTGAGCATATAACTCAACAGCACAGCTCCTCCTCCTTCTTAAATTCTCCATTAGTAAGGAGAATTTTAGGGACAATAGACTATGTGGAACCAAATTCAACTTCGTCTTGAGGATGAAAACAATTTCAAAGTCAAGGTGAACAGTTAACTGTTGAATTGTCAAATCCTTATTTTAACCACTGTCCTACCTACATGGGCATTCAGAAAGAGCTAGAAAATTATGTCTCCTCACAAAAAATTAAATAATGTGCAGATAATTAATTGTTTAAGATAAAGTCATCACTAAGAGAAGCAACAGCAAAGCAATTTAAAGACAAATTCTTACTGTTTTATTTTGTCAGGTGTGTCATGTAAGCCATCATAGTCATAGTCAAAGATTGGTCCACTTATAACATTGACTCCATTTCGTTCAGTGGCATATCGCTTCACCAAAACCCTTTGGAAATAGTTCCATACCTCTGTGGGGGGAAAAAAAACAAAACCAAAAACAAACAAACCAACCAATCAACCAAAAGTAATAAAAAAAACCCCAAAACCAAAACAAACAAAAAATACCCAACCAAACAAAAACTCCACAATACACCAACATTTGGATAAATCAAAACATGTCAAGATTATAAAGTTTTTTCTTCCCCAAGATAAAAATCCAGAGGATATTATTCATATGACAGTAGGGGAAATGAAAGACTAAGCATTACAGAGTTACTGCAGCTTCATTCCGTTTTGTCAACAAAGCCTATTCAGACTTTGTTCTCTGTTGATTTTTTCCCCCAACCAGTGATAAAGGAAATACATGCTACTACTCCCAGGACAGCATTGCCATAGGCCTTGCACAGAGATTCTGCTGCTCCTTCTCAAGCTGTAAAAGCAGCTATTCACAGGTTTTTGATATCTCTTTAAACACTGCCTTTGTTTTTGTTTGCTTACAGAGAACTGTGCTGAGGTGGTGTGTTTAGGGGGTTTTTATTAATCTTAAAAAGCATACAGTACAGTAATTTAAGTCTAAACCCAAACATTTTAAAAGAAAGAGAAATGCAAATTCATTCAGTTAAATTCTCCTTTGATATAAAATGTTTAACTTCTAAACTAGGTGCCATCAAGGATGACCACAGTCATGTCATTGCAGCAACCTTTGGGAAGAGCATGATAGACTCTCTCCCACCATGTCCTCATGAAAAAGTTAAGATTCTTGCAGAGATGGGAAACACACTAGAACCTCCAGTGCTATTATTCTTTTCTTCTTTTCCTTTCTATTTTAACTAACAGAAGTGTGGGTTAACCACCTTTCTCAGACTTTCAAGAGTTCAACTCTTGTCTTGCCAGCTCAGACCTTTAAGTCCATGGTTCCCTGCAGCTGGTGGCAGTGACAGCCTTAGAAAGCCCCCTTGAACTCCTTGTTCTAACACTGCACATGCAGTGGCACATGCAGTCCCAACTGGGGCTGATGCCCAGAGCCCCACCAGCAGTGGTTTAACAAGAACCCCAGCCTAATCACTTGGCAATCCCACTCCTCCAGCTGCTCACTCCTCCGTTGCACATGCTTTATCAATAAACACAGTCCGAAAAAGAAAAACACCCTCCTGTCCCACTGACTCAAGTTTTGTATCTAAATCAGACTGCAGCTCCACTTCCCACTGCAACCACCTAGAGAGCAACACCAGGGCAATGAGGGGCCAGCCCAAGGATATAATTTTTGGAACTCCAGCAAAGCAGGAGCTGCTTAAGCCAGTCTCACTATAGAAAAAATGGACACAGAACTACTGCCAGCGGGGATAGAATGGGACAGTGAATTATAAACACAAAGCAGAGCAGGGGGGCTCTGCAGCCAGCACTGCCACCACAGCATAGCACTGCCACCTCCTATTTTACCTGTCATGGAAAAAGATCCATATAATAAGCTTATACTTGGCTCTCGGCACTGCAACCTGTACACATGGAGTGGTTTGTAATTCCCCAGGAATGACATTAGTACCAGAATTTTTTGTAAGGAATCTTTCACCCACATGTGATGAAGAAGGCCACTAGACAAAATGAGCTGCTAGAGGTGGGTTGTTCTCCTGTGATTAGCATTTCAGCCAAATACTATGATTAACATTAACATTAAGAGCATTTTTATGAAGTGATTCAGGAGTGGGAAATTCCCAATAATTTTTCACTCTTTAATCAGTCAAGTGCTTTTGCTCAAATTTCCAGCAAACATCACCACTTGGTCCTACACAGAGGTTTTTCAGTTAAAAACACTCATTTCTGGTTAAAAAGGAAAAGGCTCCCATAGGCTTTGATGTTTATCCAAACCTCTCTGGCCTAAAATCTGAATTGGAAATCTCACAACAGGCTCTTGAGATTCTTCCAAGTCTTGTCAATCCCTGCCAAGCCAAAAATGCCACCAGAATAGCCTGATGGTTTTCCTACCTCTTGGCAAGACCAGAGAGAAAAGGGATGTGCAGACAAAAGAAATGTTAGTAATATAACCCTGCAGCACTGAAAGTTTCAGTCAGGTTTAAATCATCCCTCATTTTCCATAAATTGGTTTTCTCGTCTTCTTCTTCTTTTTTTTTTTTTTTTAATAGGTAATAAATATGTTCAGTCTCCCTTTAAGGGCATGGATAGAAAAATAAAATATAATCACTTGTCCCTGAACTACAAAATACCAAGGGCACATTCCCAGGCTTATGCACACTCCCAGGCTCCAGTTGTTGTCTAAGTATGTTCTGCACTAGCTTGGGCTACAGAGAATCTGAATGGTCTTACAGAATGTGAATTACTGTGGCATAAAGCACAACTGCAGACCCACAGCACAGCTGTGCCCTTACATTAACCCAGCACCAAGGAAAACAAATCTTTCTTAAAACTTAAGCCTCTCTTGTGCTAATCTGCCTGCCCATTCCAAGGACTATACAAGTGCCCACAGGTACTAGCTGCCAGCTACAGGTAACAGAATTTAATGTTCTAAATTTCTCCTATCAATTCATTCCATAATCCAACACAAAGTTAAAAAAGAGAGCTTCCTGGTAAAGAGAAGCATAGTCATGGAAAGAGCACTTACTTTTGAAGGCAGGATACATTGGAATGATATTTGTTATTAGAAAAGCATCATATTTTGCTTCTGCAGAGGAACTTAATTCTGAAAACAGAGAAACAGAAAAATATTAATAATATGAAAGAGGAGAATTTCAGAGAATACAAAAATGTTTTGAAAATGGCTTCAGAGATTAACCAAAGGGAATATTGTAATCTAAACAACAATCTGATTGTTATATTCAGAAGTGCACACTACATACACAAAATATGTCTTTAATGTCACAGCTGATGATGGAAAGGAAGAATTTTATCTTTGCTTCAACTGTCAATCAGTTCAAAATATTTTCATATAGCTTATCTATTTTTGCTGTCTTAAAAGGCAGAAAGTTTTGCAGAGTTTTATAAAAGACGCCAACAATTTCTTGGGAGAGAATTCTTGGGATTATCTTCTAGCTCTGAGCGAGCCTCTGCACCAGTAAGTCCATTTCAGAAATCCACCATAAAACATTTCAGCCACTGAGTGAGGAAGACAGAGCAATGAAGTTCAAAACTGCGAGTCAGTTGTGCCCCTTCAACATTTACTAATCTCAGAAGATCACAGATGTAATACTGAAGAAAAGCAAGTGAATGAGGAGAATTGAGGATGCCTTTTTTACACAGGTTTTCTACTACCACTATTCTATAGGGTCGTAGAAACTTTTACAGTATGCAAGAGTCTAATTTGGATTTATAAATTAAAAATATGTTTATCTTACTGGTGTTTGACATCAAAATTAGTCTGTTTATATCTGATGGGGTTTGCCTGAAATATGTTCACACCAAAGTTTTCCCTAACAACACAAGAAAATTACAAAATCCCTAGGTACAAAAAGCTATCTAAACTTACGAGGAGGAAAAAGGAATCCATAGGAGAGCTGCTTGTCGCCTCTGTAGGCAGCACAGCTCTGGCTGTTTCCTGGAGAAATGCGGAGGTCGGGCCTCACACAGCTGGCCAGGTGCTCCGGGACACCCGATACCTCTGCCTGCATTGAGGAACATGACACAACAAAAAATGTACTTTCAGCTTTTACAGATAAAAGGAAAGTAGGTCATACTGTGGACAGGCTACACAGAAGGCCTTGCATGCAGTAAAATAAACCACTTGGCTGTACCACCAAATCCTGCTCCTGCATTGCTGCACAGCTCCTTCTTCAGGGAGCAGAAATCCCCATGGGAGAAAATTCAAACCAACTCATCACTCATAATAAAACAAACCCCCATAGAAAAAAACTTAAAAATAACACAGGAGAAGACATACACAACCCTTCCCCTTAAAACTATTCTCTCATGAAGGAAGTAACAGAATTTAGGCATGGTTTACAATGTACTTTGACATAATTTCTCTTGGGAAGATTTCTCACCAGAAAAATTTCCTGGGGAAAGGAAATTTTAGGACTTCAAGAACACATATACCAAAGAAATTTTCCCAAAATTTTTTGCCAAGTGCATTTCAAGAGTAGAGAGAACACTAACCTGTTTGGAAATAGTGTAGGATGTCCACAGAGGCATCAGGAATGTTTCACTATAGCCACTTTCAAAGTCGTGGTGATGCAAGATATTGTATTTTGTGCGGTACAGTACTGCAGGGCGTCCATATAAAAGATGCTTGTCTAAAAATCAAAAGAAATTACATTTACATTTATTACTGAAAATCTTATAGATGAAAAAAAAAAAAAAGGGAGACTGGCTTTCCATCAGATGTTGATTTTTTCAGTGATAATTAATGGGATACTGACCCCGAATAACTACTAAGGAAATCTTTGGACAGAGAGAGAACAAGAAGTCTTCAACTGTTCTGGCTGTGATCCCCGTTCCAGGTTCACAAACACCTTTAGGGATTAAAAGTCCCTTCTACACTTGAAAGCTTGTTTGTGTCACAGGATGGAAAGAGGGTGTTTTTTCAAAAAACTGCAGACTCTTCAACGACCTTTGTGTCCACATGTCATTCACACAAGAAGTGATAAGCACTTTCTTTTCATAGCTTTAAATCAGTCCCCAGTCTATCATTCCTGCCACTCTTCAGTAGACTTTCTCTCCTTCCTATGTTTTCTGTAATGATTGTCTCAGAAGGGAGTCAAAAGTGGTCACTCAGAGTAGTTTTTTCCCACTTAACTGATATAGATTTGTTCTGAAGATTGATGTGCTATTTTTTGTCTGTAATATCAAAGAAACAAACTAATAAAAAAACCTTTTCCTAACTTGGGCTACAAAATGACACCACCAGCTCTGTAAAAACAGCCCTTCTGTCTTGGTGATATGTTATGGTTAAATGTCCTTAGATAACTCTGACAAGCTTGCTTACAAAAAAACAAAAACATTGAAAGGGATAGAAGAAAAATAAATTTCCTGGATAATCTTGCATTGTCCCGTACAGTCCATTGAATTTGATAACCTTTTGGCAAACACACTTGGCTTGCTTTTGGAAATTAAAACATAGAAACAAGGAAAGTGGCCTAACACAGTTCCCAGACGGGCATTTAACCTGAAGGAAAAGGGCATGTTTTATTAGTGCTTGGGTACAAACAGAGGATGTTTTTATAGGGCACAAGGAAAAAAGTAGGAAATGCCTAGTCTAAGGATAAAGATGATAAACTTGCTTATTCAAGAGAAGCTGAAGTCATCTTTTTCTTCTCCCTGTGAATATCAACATGGTGCACCATGTTGTAAAGTGCACCATGAAGGAAAACAAAACTTGCATGAAGCACAACTGCCTGTTTAAATAAGGACATATCATGCTATTTAGCAGAGAACTGATAAATGAGCAAATGCAACTGGTTTAAATGCTTACATCTTAGCATACACCAAAAATACTATTTTTATATTACTGCAGTGAAGAAGAATGAAAACCAGAAACCAAAATAAGTATGTTGAGATTTGGACTACAACGGTGAGGGTGTTTTTTCCTGATGCCATGAAGTGCCACAGTGAAGAGTAGCTCTTCATTAATTGGGAAAATCAGTATAACAAGATGAAAGCTGCAGAAAGGCAATTTAACTCACAAAGAAGAGGACTGTGGTCACCTTTAGAAACTAAAGGATAGGCTGCATTGCCTGTTCACAACAGAGAAATTGAAAATACTTTCATAAGAGAATTAAAACAAATCTCCTTAATCATCTGAACAACGCAATTTGAGGCATCTCAAAAAATCTATGCCTAAACTGAAAGCTTCGGAATTTGCTAATTTGGACGATTGTTATGGTAAGGGAAATGCTGTGAATTGTTATGCTGTACTCGATCACCACTGTGAGAAGGGAAACTCTGCTTTGGTGAGCCTTTCAGTCAGTAGTGCTGCTCAGAAAAGCAGCTCCCATCCCTTCTCCTCTGTTCTTATTGCCCCACTTAAACCTAGACCATGGCCCTGATGCAGCTGAGAGTGCAGCCACACAGAAGTCAGTGCTGGCACACCGCAGGAACTACTGGCCAGGAGAGCTGGGAATGCTTTCTCCTGGGAGAGGAACAGAATTGCACTGAGCAGCCTGAACTAGCAGAGCAATTGTTTCACTGTGTAACCTGCTCCCCAAGAGCCAAGCATTAAGACTCACTCATGGATTGTTAAAGCAGCTGTAGCATCCTTTCTAGGTGAAACCTAAGCCTGGATAACTATGGTAAAACCCAGACTGCAAATGCAGTCTGGTTTCTTCCCCATTTACAGCCTGTAGCTGAACAGAGTACTGCCTCATGCACCCTCTCCTTTCCTCTTGTCTCTGCCTTCACATCTGGGCTTAAAACTTCTAGAAGTGATGGAATGGAAGAGCTAAAACTCAAATTACTTTGAACAATACTTTAGTCCTGGTTCATCAAAAGGTACTGTGTACTTTCTCAAGGGAGCAGCACTTCACCTTGCCCACGAATCTCATGTGTGTCTGTGGGCTACCTTGACAAGTACTCAAAAAGACAGTTTACTACACATTAATTAAACCACACCACAAGTTGCCCTGGTATTAACGATGAAAAGTAATTTACAAAAGAAAATTAAATCAGCTTTCATTAACTGAGGCACCAGGCTCTTACCTTCTGTTCCTTTTACATGAAAGCGCTTGTTGAGTTCATCCAGCTTGTTCTTCTCAAGAACAGAAAAAAAGGAATGAGATTAGGACCACTGGATCTTGTTTTACTAGCATCTAACAAAACAAAACTAGTGCTATAAGACAGTGAGCATTTTCCTGTCTCCTCTTTCACAAAAACATGTAATTTTTTCCAAGGGGGCACAAAGACTTCACAGGAGGGACCTGGGGAATTCTTACAGATCAAACCCTCTCAAAAGAAATAAAATGGCTACAACTTTACCAAAAATACCACTAATAGTGGAGGCTTCCACAGATCCTACACACCTACCTTATCATCACATGTACATCCTATATCAAAATCTGACGCAGAAGGTAGAGCTACAGGATACAGTGGTTTAGCAACTTCATCTGGCACAGTTGGTTTGTAAACATTGGCTCTCAGCAGGTGATTTAAACTTCCATGGGTGCCATTATTGGGAGCAGGCTTTAATCCAAGCAGATCTATGAAAGCACCAAGGAAAAATGAATGGTGGCTCCAAACATATATTCAAGTGCAGCTCTATCGAGCCAACATGTTTCTTAGTAATACTGTTTACACTCACAGCATGTTAGTAAAAGCTTTTAATGTAATAAAAACAGCTATTTTTTTTGTCCTAATCATAAAACTGTACATGTTGCATGAATACTGTCTTTGGCTTTATGACAAAACATTAATTTACATCAAGACAGTGGAAAAGTTTAAAACTGGACAAAGTTTTATTATAACTACTCCTTCAGCTTCCAGTGCAAACCTATGGTTCATGTGCTGACCTCACACCAAGCATCTGCAACACAGTGATTTCTAAATAAGGGCTAACTACTCTTTAGGTATTACATGTTTGGGGTAAAAAAAAGTAAATTACATCTTTGAAACACCTTAAAGTTTTATTGTGAATTACACCTTGAAAGTTTTATTGTTCTAGAAAATCAGTACTAAAGAAAGGACCCTAATGAATATCTGTATACATCATCAGATTCTTCTTCACAGCTTCACTACAAATTCAGGAAACATAAGCAAGCAAGGAAATGCCACAGAAAACTAAGTGATCAACCTGAACTGCTGCATGAGAACTGCAGATACAGAAGCAGTCTCTGAACAGAAATCTCCTTCCTAAACAACTGAGATGTGGACACCACACATTGTAGGGATGTCCATTTGATCTCTATCAAGCTGCAAACACCAAAACTATAGTAACCCCCTTCACTGGCCAGCTCCAGAGCAAGCTGAGACCCCTGAGAAATGCCTTCAGCCCTCCTGGCAAGTGCTTGGGAAAGGGGGACTAGGGAAAAAAAACACTGAGAGGAAGTCAGGGCATAAGCTCATGCTTAAATGTGCCTAAATGAAGCCCTGTTAAAATAAGTGGCTGCTTTTACAACTTCTTAAGCAGGCAGCTTACCACACATGACGTTGTAAAGTTCAATGTTTTCAAAAGGAGGCACTTTTGTCTTGTACTTGAAGGTAGGGCCATAACCTATAAAGACAGTCTTTAAAAAAAGAAAAAAAAAGAATATGAAAGAAGAGCATCAAAATTTAGGGGGTTTTCACTGAATATTTACATTTCAGAGACCTTCAATGACCCTCCCAGACATTGTTCATACCTGCATGCTGTTTATCTTGTTGTCATAGCCATGGTCTCCATGAAAGAAACATTTTCCTGTTGGTTTCTTGTAAACATCCATGGCTTTCCTAAATTGAAAAAGCATTAGAAATTCTCCTCAAAGGTGGCTGACCTGACAATATCCTTCTGGGCAGGGGGGATAAGGATACAGGGCAATGCATTGTAATAATTTATCTTTCATGAGGAGCAGTAGTAGGGACTTGCAGGCTTATTCAGCATCCTCAGGGTTTCTCCCTCTACTCCCACTCTAAGAAACAACTCTTATTATTGATAAAATATCAATAAATAAAGTATCAAAATAAAGTATCTATTATTATCTCAGATTTTCTCATATTACAATCTCCTGCAGACTGGAGGTGTTGGACCTCCAGTCCAACAGAGGCTGCTCAGAAAGCACTTTTGTGACGTTACAATGCTGCAAATGTCGTACAATGCTATAAAGTGCTTTCACCTGTTTGCCTTCAGCCCAATAAACAAAAATGGATAGCAGAAAAAAAGCTGAAAAAAGAAAGATCTTCACGAAGACAAATAGCTGGGAAAATAAGTGCTGCACCATAGGAATGCTAATTATCAGCTTGTCATTGAGATGGGGCTTTTTACAAAATACGTGGAAAAATAAGTATTGTGTAATTGGAATTATAATCACCAGCTTATTTCAGAGTACTTCTATACAGTTTTATATGGCCATGTGCAGGGAATACATGCAGAGAACCACATTATCCTACAAATTAATTTCTTCATCTGCAATAAAATAATGCTCAGTCAAAGTTTGATTTTGGCCTCATAAATTACTAGAGTTACAGCAACTAGAGCTGTAGCTACCATTTTCCTTTAACTACCAATTACATTTACACTACATTTAATTAATGAATTAGTGGTGAATAAGATCTCTGAAAATTAATAAATAAGCCAAAGAAAGACTAATGTAATTAATAAGAAATTACTAAATGTAAATCAACCTGGGCAATCCCATCCATTTCAGTACAATTCTTAACACTAAAGCTTTTATAGACCTAAAATTCAGAGTGTGATTCTTTGAAATATACATAACCCCAACCATGGGCAGCCTGCCAGCAGCCAGTGGAGTTATGCAAGAAAGCAAACGGGGTTTCTCATTCACTGCTTCGGCAGAGTGATCCTTGCATAATTCATGGAAAGATAAGCACAGATGTCAAAAGGCACTTACAACACACTGTGTGTTTGCCTGGCAGCTATATGGGCAAAAATCCTACCATAATTTAAAGCCCATAACAGTCTACCATGAGCCAAAAGCTGTGTCATGTTCCAAGAAGCACTGAGTCAGATTCATGCAAAAAGAGCCCACCATTCTCATAATGTAACATACAACACATGTCCAAGTATATTCAAATAGAAACCTGTGCATCATCCATAAACAAAGGCTACTCCTCTCCTGTTCACTCTATACATGTATGTGCCAACTGGATTTTCCTCACTCAATTTTTAGCTAACTAATATACACTGCCCATATTCTATAACCAAAAATTCGGAGTCACATGGCTAAGAGCAACCAAAACCGGAGTTTTTGCCGGAACTACCCATCCTGGCTTTCTGTGGATTTGTTTTGAAATGCAATACACTGCCAGCAAAGCACTTTGATGGTCACCCTGTGACATCCTTCCACATGCTCTCAGACATTCATCCACTCTGGCAATATCTCCATTTTCTTTCCATTCACCTACTGCATCCACTCAAACTCTTGTTTCCTAACATCCCCTCATCATATAAGCCTGCCCCTTCCTCCCATATTCCCTGCTCCCCTATTGGACTAAGCTTGTACCTCATTAGAAAAATTTATCTACATTTGAGCTAATCAGTCAAAGCCACCAAGCTGCTTGCGCAAATCAGTCTGCGTTTCTACCTTTTATCTATCCACTGATTTTCCCACACTTGAAATTATTTTGTGTTCTCAAAACTCCTCTTTCTCACAGGACAGAGGAGCAGGATGTTATCAGACAGGGCGATCCTAATCATCCCATTTTCTCAGAAGAAAAGACTGGAAATCAGGATGGAAGCAAACACAAGGGTTTACCTTGCCACATGCCATTTGCGATCCACCAGTAAATGGACATCCTCAATTCTTCGGTTGTTAGCATAGTGCAAGCGTTTAGGCAGGTGCTGTTTCAGGTAAGGCTTGAAGTGCTGGTCAGGCTTTCTACACTGAAAAATAAATGGTTACAAATAGCATGCTGTCAGTTAGCTTAAGATGCACACAAAACCTTTGGCTACAGACAAAGTTGTTAAGACAATCACTGATGATGTCTGGAAAACAAAGTGTACACCTACAGTATTTAGTCCAGTCATTTCTGTGCAGTATTTGCATACAGCCAAGGCCCAGGGAGCCATTCAAAGATATATTTGGAAAGTTTCATTTTCCTGACAGTCTTTATGAAACCATCAAACAAAATATTACATGTACTTACAGATGAATAATTTTATTCTAACTGGACCAAAGTTTAAGTTCCAGTGGAAACCTGAATGCTCAAAAATACAACTCATCTGCAGATACATTTAAAGCCATCTGGTTATAAAACTTGGGGGGTTTTGTTTTAATTTTAAACACTTCTCTTCCATTAATGGCAAGGTTAGAGTTGAAGGCTATCAAAAGCACTTTTTCAGCATCTTCAAAGTGCTAGTAAAATGTTTACCCTAAAAGATTACTTTCCAATTCTGAAGCAATGAATAAATAGACCCAATTCAGGCAGTAAAGTCCAGGAGATTCTGCCTCTGTACTGCCCAAAAAGGTTATAAAAGCTACTAGAGCAGCAAATAGCGGAAAACATGACTAACATTAATCTGTGCTCATGAAGGGCAGCATTTAACATTCTTTATTTATAATAATGGTTGGTTGATTTTCCTGTCTAAAGAGTGAGAAAAGAAGATGAATAATATCACAAATTAAGAAGTGAACAGTGAAGTATAGACAGATACCTCCCAGTCCTAAATACTTACTGTAAGGTTGGCAACAATCATTTTAGGGTCATCTGTTAAACAAAGGTAAAAGAAATAGAAAATATTAAAAATTCTCAAAAGAAAACACAAGGTTTACTTAAGCATACTTCCTAATACTTCCCTGACCTTTACTAAAAGTGCTTTGTATTTATCATAGAATCACAGAATCATTTAGGTTGGAAGAAACTTTTAAGATCAAGTCCAACCCTTAATCTAGCACTGCCAAGTCTATCACTAAGCCATGTCCACAAGTGCCCCATCTTTTAAATACCTCCAGGGATGGGGACTCCACCACTTCCCTGGGTGGCCTATTCCAGTGCTTTTTTATAAAGAAATTTTTCCTAATATCCAATCTGAACCTCCCCTGGTGCAACTGGAGGACTTCTCCTCTTGTCTTCTGTTACCTGGCAGAAGAGACTGACCCCACCTGACTACAGCCTCATTTCAGGGAGTTGGAGAGAGTGACAAGGTCTCCCCTGAACCTCACTTGGCCTTGTTGAACCTCACACCACAAGCCTTGGGCCATCACTCCGGACTGTCCAGATCCCTCTGCAGAATTCTCCTACCCTCCAGCAGATCAACACTCATGCCCAGCTTGGTGTTGTCTGCAAAGTGATTCAGGGTGTCCTTGATCCTCTCATTCAGATCATCAATAAAGATATTAAACAGAACTGGCCCTGATACTGAGCCTGGGCCCAGCCATCCAGACAGTTTTTACCCACTGAAGGGTGTACCTGTCCAAGCCACAGGCTTCCAGTTTCTCCAAGAGAATGATGTAGGAGACAATATCAAAGACTTTACAAAAGTCCAGGTAAACATTATCCACAGAAGCAGGTCACTTTGCCATAGGAGACCATGTTGGTCAAGCAGGATTTGACTTTCCCAGATCCATGCTGGATGGGCCTGATCCCCTGGCTGTCCCGCACATGCCATGTGATGGCTTGGTGACATCTAGTTGCTTAGGTAGTGTTCTCACTGTTTTATAATCTGGGCCTTAGCTTAATACTTACTTTGTTTTCTGCAAACACATACTTTCAAAACTTTTGTCTGTTTTACTCTAAAATAAAAAATTATCCCCAAACACAATGACTTTCCTTCAAAAAATTTTGAAAGCATGCCTGAATGCAACAATGCACTCTGTTAGAAGGAGTAGCACTTTTTGGTGCAATAGATAGATAATAGATAGATAAATATGCAGCACTTTTTTGTCACTTTTAACATTTGACTGCTTCCCTAGGCTACTGGTCAGCAAGTGAAAAGCCACAGTAAAATATTCTGAATTTGTTTTTGAGTTATTAAAGGGACATGCAAGATGTAGAAAGCCTAAACCCAGTAACAGTCCATACTAACTGTGTTCTTCTGGGGGGTGGGGGAAACATTTTTCAGCCATGAGAAGAAAAATAGGCTAAAAGAACATTTTGGGAAGTGAAAATCTCTTGTTCAAATACTATTGTTTTGGTTGTTTAAGGCATGATCTTGCTGAGCTTGAAATGGGCTCTATTGCATCTCAAAACACAAGCTGTAGGCTTTCGCATTGCAAGGGTATGTTTGCAGTATTGAGACAGTATTGTGGAACAATAAAGAATAAAGAATTTGGTAATTTGCCATTTAAGGAGGTAAACCCCAGTTCTAAAGGTAACAAACACGCTTCTTTCAAGTTCTACATTCAAACTGCTGATTTACAAGCAATTGCAAATATTCAAACTAGGAAGCTGCACACAGAGGCCAAAAGAGGAAAACATTATTGTGGGAAACCAGTGGTATGACTCAGAGGTCACACAGACAAGATGATCTTCTTGAAACATATTGCCATTCATTCTCTAAGGAAAACTTCTTTTTCTCAGCAATTTGGAAAGACAAAGATTGAAAGATTTAAAAAAAACAAAAACCAACAAACAAACAAAAAACTTCTCAGAACTGAAATTTGTTCTCAGTAGACTGTCTAGTGTAAGAATTCAGTCTCATGTTAGTCTACAAAATTTGACTAACATATGCACTATTTTCAACAAATCTTTACAAACTCATCATATATTCCTTAAGCATAAATACCCAAATACTGATTTGTGTATGCATTTCTTTTACTACAAACTTTTTTTACCAGGCAAAAAAAGTTTCTAGTAAAAAAATGCATACACAAATCAGTATTAAGGATGTTTTATTACATTCTCAAGATTTTTGCTATTATTCTGGAAGTACTTAATCTTCAAAGATGGATCTTTCTACAAAATTTGCCCTCACCCAGAGCATATCTGAAGTGTTGTGAGGGAATACTTGGCTATCCCAGCTGTCAGATCTTCCCCTCTATCAAAAGTTGTCACTCTTGGAAGCATATGGTGCAAAAAACACAGGTACCTATAGGTTATTTATGAGTTACACAGTTTGCATGGTAGCTTAATTGCTGGCAAAGCCAGGTTTGCCCTTGTACGCTGAACCAGAGCAGTCAGGGTGCTGGCACAAAGCCCTGTCCTGGTACTGCTGCCCTGGAGGCAAAGGAGGGCAGCTGGTCTGAAATGACAGAGTTAGTTTCACTAGAGGACTCCTGCCTGAACCCTGAGACCTGTTGTCAAAGATCAGTTAATCTCAAACACTAAGTCAGGGTAAATTTCTAAAAGCATGGTTGAAAATAACAACAAGTTTTACTGACAACACTGGCCCTGGATGCATGTGCTAATCTTCCTTATATCCTTCAACATCTCCAGTCTGTTGTTATTTAGGAACCCACATGACTTCTCATCTGTGCCAAAAGTATGATAAAACTACTGAATTCAAAGTTAACAAGTCACTGGTTTCCTGTTAGCTCATAAAATGTACCCATAAAAGGGGTTTCTTTACATCCAAGTTGTGCAGTGCTGAGACTGTCCAAATACAGTTTTTGTTGACAGAGGAGAAAAGTGCATGAGTAAATTTACAATGAACCATAAGCTGGCATGTGAAACTGGCTTGGAGATTCCATTCCTCCATGATATAAAAAAGTGGTGTTTAATCCAGAACATTTAAGCCCTCCCCTAAACAGTTCTACCACTATGGGGTCTGTGAAGCACAAACTGGAAAGGGAGCAAGTAGCTGTCTTCAGTGGGATTCCCTCTGAAATTCCTGCCAACACCCTGCAAATTTACACTCTTTGGACAGCATCATTTCAAGGAAGGGATAGAGTCTAGATCTCTGGATATAAAAGGTACAATTAAATTTACTTACACTTTAGGTTATTGCTAGACCTAGGGCGAATTCGCCCTAAAGATCCAGGCAGCAAAATTATATCATCCACATTAGTCAGATAGTTGCTTAAAAATTCAGTTCTTTCACAAGTCGTGTCTTCCATCCCTGCAGAAAGAAAATTCAAAATTAATCCACCCTAAAAATAAACACATTTTCCAGAACAGCAAAAAAGGAGATCCCAAACACCCTATGTATTATTTCTTTTGGATTACTCATTTTGCTCTTTACAGCCATCTAACTCCAACATGATACACTGGTAGGACTCAAACTAGGAGTGCCTATGCAAGAGAAATAACAGTCTAGGCATCATAGAACAGTCACCACTATGTGACATATAACATGTGTGCACTGACTCAACTCCAAATTAAACTCATAGAAAAATCAAAGTCTGTTTCTAGTTTCATGTACTACTTTGGGGATTATTTCTTTTCAAACAAATGATTTTAAGAGGAATAGCACACAAAATGTGCTATTGTCTGTTGGTGGTCTGTTCTAAGGCAGCCGCAGATAAACAATTTTCTCTCGTAGATATTTGTGGTGGGGAGGAATGTACTGCCAGCCACAGGAGGCTCTCAGCACAAAACTGCCAGCCCTGGAAATCCTTCCTGACCCTTACCCTCCTCTATCCACATCCAGAAATGAGGCATATGCCATTTTATTGTTAAGGCAGCAGTTCATGTGAGACTGTCAGGAATAAAGACCTAAAAAGAAGAGGACCTTTGGTGGCATTGCTAAAAAATTATGCAAACCCCGATTTTTGTTCAATAAAACTTTCTTTTTATCTTTGCTAATATTTACTATTTCCTATATTGCAAAGTTTATTCGAAAGTTTGAAGGAATAAGACCTACCAAATAATATCTGTGCTTTTAGGTGACTACATCTGACCACAAAATATCTTTTACCTCCTTCCTCCATTATTTTGATTACTTTTCCATCTAAGTGGGCACAGTCTTATATTACATAGATATAAGAAAGATATTCCAGTCTTTCTTCTAATAGGATAATGTATTAATTGCCATGGAAATGCCTGAATCTAAAGTCCTATTCTTCTCATGTACAGGAAAATAAGGCTACTAAATTTTTTATTTAATGAAAACTGAAAAGAAGGTTATTCTAGGCAAATTATAGCACTCCGATATAGGCAAGAAGAGCTACATTGGATGTGGCATCAAAAACACCAAGATTTGAAAAGCTCTGTGTAAAGAAGTAAACATCCAGATCACTATGAAAGAGTTATGAAAGAGAAATATCCCTCCATGACAATTAACAGGTGAGCTGAGTGGTCAGTCCACACCAAATGGCTTTTTTTGGAAGAGTTAAACTACCAGAAAAAAAAATCAGCTCAAAAATATCTTAAATGGAACTTTGATTTAGGTTACCTATTATATTTACAGCTACATTGCTTAAGCATTTATCTTCTGATAAATATTGTGGTATAAAATTTACCATGATCACCAACAAATATAACATTGACACATCGATGTAGTTTCAACTGTTTCAGTCCATCCATTAGTTGTCCTACTGTCTTGTCAATCTCTCTCAGGGGATTCACCATCATCTGTATAAATATTCGGAAGAAAAAAAATTCTGTCATTGCAATGTTTCTACTTCTACAAATGGGGGTCCTTTAGCAAAACTCTGATGGGAAAATCATCCAGGTCAAGATGCAAAGCCTTGGCTGAGCTGTTACTCCTACAATTATTATACCATTTCCTTTTGTATATCCACACCATGATTTCATTGTGAGACAGCCTTGCTGAGATGCTGACACAAGACAGCAAAAGGTCTTTATGGCTGGTCCCAGACCTCCCATGAACATGTGTACAGTTGGTAAAACAATGTGTAGAGAGTAGAAAAAGACATGTGACTTTGAGGTTCATTTTGTTTCTTATAGATAGAAAACAGTGCTTTTAAAAGAAAACAGTATTTCATGTGAATGGTTTAGTCAAAAAATGAGTGTGAAATGAAGCTTTAGACTTGGGATTCACATGTCAAAGCACTTAATGAAATTGACTTCAAAGGACATCTGACACCAGGATGACAAGATGCACGTCACTTGAGTAGCACATGAGGCTCAGAGTGAGTGTTCTTCAGCTTCAAAGCCAAGAGTTTCCAACAGCTCAAATGACAGTTCTGGCAAAACTGCCAGCAGGCCCCAGAGGATACAGATACTGCACTGTGATTTCTTCATTAAAGTTTCTTTTTCATTAAAAAAAATAAACAAACCAAAACAGAACCCAAAAAAAACAAAACTGAAAAAAGCAAGACACAGGACTATGTTTTCAGCCTTAAGAAAATGAAACACATCTTATCAGATGGCACAGAGAGAAGAAAAGTAAGATTTTATGCAGAAGACAATTTTGAGAAGAAAACATTTGTTGTCACTATATGGCAACTTCCTCACTTGTCTGTTTAATTGGCTGATTCAAGTAGCCACAATAAAAAACCCTTCCAATGACAAAAAGAATGATAAATTCTGGATGAGAAAAAAATAGATTTCGGTAGAATTTTCTAAAATAAACACTATGTTAGTGTGACCCAGAAAGAGATGGTTCAGAAATTCTCCCTCTGCCTGAGTCATTAAGGGATAGATGTTAAATGAGTCTGCTAGGTTATGAGACAGGAAATGTCAACTCCCATGTGGCACCATAAATAAGAGAGAAGAGACTTACAGGAGAAGGAATCATGGTGGGGAAGAGGAGGAACAATTTCTGCAAATTATGGAAGTGGTTCAGACAAAGGGTGAAATTTTGACATAATTTAATTAAGGAAAGCCCAAGTAGTCATTTAAATCAAAACTTTGAAACCTGCAAGTTCAGAAAAAAGAAAATTATCCATTTCAGCATTCTTTCACTCTCCAATACAAAGAGCTTCTTCTACAAATGGGAATTCCATTTTTATGAAGTCCACTTATGTTGTCCATATAAGTCCATATTATATATATGTCAATCATATAAGGAAATACAGCTTTTACCCAGAATCCAAAACATATTCAAGGAAGTTGGAAATACAGACAAATTTCCTTTAATGTTTACTTTTGTCAGCAAGGTTGAGTCTTCTTTTAAAAAATAATAGTGATGATAAAGAGCAACAATTCAAGGATTTCAAGCGATAGTTCTGTTTAGCTGCCCTCTTCAGCAATCTGACCTCCTCTTACAGTTCCTCCCAGATGTAACTTTCAAAAATTTACTGACAAACAAATAAATCTGTTGCATAAACCTTTCTTCACCTATTATCAAGACTTTGAAAGACTGTACAGAACCACTTTATCTTTCAAGATATATGGATTTCTAGGATGATGCTACAATAAAGAGTTTTGTAGCATTGTCAAAGTGCTGGGTGTGGTACCTGAAACAAAAAACCAGCTGGATTCTCTCACAAGTTTTCTCACAGAGGAAGTCTGATTAGAAGGAAGGAAGAAAGAATCTTACTTTTCATTTTTATTAATAATTGGTAGAATCCATCTTGTACTGCATTTCCTTGCTGTCAAACACCATCAAAAGATTAACTTGCTGATATGATGGCAACTATGACATAATAGTAGGGGTTTTTTTCTGAAATAATGGTGTCAAATTTTCACAGCTGACTTATAAGGAAACCTTCTTTAGGGGTAAGTTTGGATGACCTTTTCATTCAGAGAAAGAAAGGCAAAAAAAAAGCAGCATATTTTCACATCACTAGGAATATTATTTCTACTCTATTTCATGTTGGAAGGGTATCGCTTGGAATGGCAAATTAGTGAGCAATAGCAATATAATCCATAGTAGTTATTATTTCTCCTCTCAAATAAATCTTAAAATGTTAAAAGTTCTATGGAAAATTCTTGGGGTTCTATACGTGATTTTTTTTTGCATGTCCCTGTCTGCCATGTTTTCACGCTGAAATTGTGTCTCAAAATAACTCTTTAAAGTTAAATTGTGCAACAAGTCAAAAAACATTCCCACAAAAAATTTCTTGAGAAATGCTTACATCCTCTGTAGGATACTGTGGTGTGTAAAGGCTTTTGTGTATAGCTTAAAGGAGAAGTACCTAGATTGTTAATGCCAGGTGGACAGAGAGTACACTGAGGAATACTCCTTTCATCCACTTGCACTTTTTCCTAATAAAGCAATTTCTATTTGATGTTTTTCTTGTGAAAACAGTCTTACACACCACCTCTTGCAAATACACCATTCAGAAATACTGCAAGAAAAATTCCTTATCCTCCAAAGTCACAAAATTACTTTAAAATATGTATTTTAAAAACAAATGTTATTTTCCTTTTAGATTAGTCACATTTTCAGGGTATTTCCACAACCATGATGACTAGACACAAAACCTCAAATAATCACCATGCTCCCATGAGCTGGGAGTTACAGAGACTGCAACATATTGCAGAACTTGTAATAGTTCAGAAGGTTTACCAGCAGTGGTAGAGTCTTCCCACAGATTTTTCTGACATTACCTCCAGCTGATGGCTGGATTTTAAAAAACAAAGATATTATAAAGATAACTTTCCCTAATGCAAAAAGTCTGAAACAAGAAAAAGCCAGCCCCCAGAAGGCTTGGTCTGGTTTTACTGCTCTCCTTTGGGTCCTTCACCAAAATTTATAAAAGTTTCGGCTGCAAAATCCCAACCTGAAGCATGGAATCAACTCCCAAATTGAAAAAAGTAAAGACAGTGTAGCGCCTAAAAAGTGGCACTTCCATCATAAATTTTTGGAACTTACTTTCTTCCGACGAGTTTCCGTAGAATATTGATCCACTCTATGTACTTTTCTTCTTTTCTTTGGAGCTGCAACTGGTCTTTCCTGTCTCCTCTTAGGAGGAAGCTTTCTCTTAGGTCTCTTAGGCGGAGTAAGAGGGGAGCCATAACTACTCTCCTGTACTGGCAGGGAGAGATGTCTGGACTCAGAAAAAAAGCCTGTCTCAACTCACATCAGATAGTAAAGCTACCTATGCCAGATAATCCTGAAGCATAAATGCTATGGCCTTATCAAATATTTAGGCTTTTGGACAATTTAGGATCTACCCCTTTTTAAGGAGGAATTCACCAAATTGTACTGAAAGCGGAACAGCAGTTACAAGAGCAGACAGCATAAAAGCAAATTAAACTGGTGCTTCTAAAGATAGGTGGGGCTTCTGTGTTTGAAAAGACATAGTTATATAGGGGGTATTAGTTATCAAATATTAATCCATTAATATTACTGAGATTTAAGTTAATTTCAATTACAGCAAAATTCACTCATACAACTTAATGAGTGTCCAGGGTAGAGTACTGGTGGAAATGCAACATCTCACTTGAACAACAGTTCAGGTGTGAGTATTAGAGGCTGTCCAGTCTCAGTGACTTCTGCAAGGTTTCCCACATCAATGTTTTGGCTGAATTAGTGAAATCAAATACCCTCATCCATAGCACTAGCAGGTACCACTGTTGTGTGCCACACCCTGCACCTCACTGAAATCACCAGAACCCCATTTGCCACTATTTGGGGTCTGCAGATCAGTTACGCAGGTGAGACTCAGTTAACACGGAGCTTCAAATTAGCTGGTTGGGGGACATTAGTGGCACTGCATGAGAGATCTGTGCTGCTACCTGCCTTATTACCACCTTTATGGCAATTTTGAGAATTTAGCTTCCTAACAGCTTCAGAGTGGCATCTCATTGGGTAATGGTATTGTTCCTAAACGCACAACGACCTAGGATAGACTAATGGAAGGAAAAATAAAAAACGTGGAAGGAAAAAACCCCTAAGATCTAGCTAAAATAAACTACTCTCCCATTAATCAACTTGCTTGTAATTTCAAACTGTCCCACTCCTGCTGACTGTCACACAACTCACAAGCTCCTGGCACTGTTCGAGATGGCATGAGAAGAGCTGACAGGTGACACCTACCAGGAGATAAACCACAATCTGCAATGGAGCACACTGAGTGGGCTGGGGGAGAGTTGGAGATTTATGATGGTAATTAAGTTCTATGTACTTAGGCAGCTTCTCCCAGTTGTTGAGTTACAGAGCTCCATAAACAAGGAAGGGGAAGAAGGGGATGTTACCATCTGCCATGCTGTTTCATTGCTTCCAACGCAAGCAGCTGGAAAGGAGATTCTAGTCCAGTCTCATTCGTCTTTCTCCAGAAAGGCATTTTAATAAAAGCAGCACCAGAGTTTTCTGTTTCTAAAACGCTTCAAGCTTTGTGCAGTCCTGATGAGAGGAGCGGCAGGGAAAGGAGGACTCTCATTTCACTGTCTGTGAATGGCTCAGACAGAGCTCCACAATGCCAGAAACGCACAAGCGCGGGAGACCGCGGTCTGAACACTGAGGTGACTGTCTCAAGGCAGTGTGTTAGAGGAGCAGCAGAAATGGCTTAGCACTGCCAGATTTTGATGTATTTCAGAGCTCTTATGGTAGTATATTTCTAGAATATTTTATGTAAAAAAAAAAAAAGTTAGGTAGGAAAAAAATGAAAAAAGCCAAGTTCTTATTAACCAGCCAATTCTTAGTCTTGCTTGAGAAGAGTCAGAACAGAGTTATGGAGGAGGGAACCGAATCCCTCCCCGCTTACAGAAGGAAACTGTAACATCACAAGGGTAACCAGCCAGCCAAAGCTTTGCTTCTTGACCTGGATGGACCAACCTACCAGAGTTCAACTGCAGAAGCACAGAGGGAAAGAAAAAAAAAAAGGCAGAAGTAAATCAAAAGCAAGCATATTATTTTATAACTCCCACAACTGCTCCTGGAAACATAATATAACCCACTGAAATACCTCCTAAAATGTTTTTAAAGAAAAAAACCAAACCATAAAACACCCCCAACCCAAAGCAAAAAAACCCACCAGACCCCAAAACCTAGACAACCAACCCATTTACACTGAAATTCGTGTTAGTGGATATGCAAAGTTACACTTGTGGAGACTAGCTACAATATAAAAAACACTGGCAATTCACCAATAAATTTTAAGTCTGTCTAAGTCCCTTTGTTTCTTGCTTCAAGACACTGCACATAGGCTGCTGTGCATGTCCTGAGAAGATCTAAGAGCCACCTGGATGCCATTAAACCTCTAAGTTATACATTTAAAATAAATTTAGAACATTATTTGGTATAATAAGCTTAAATAAAAATTCCCTTCATTCTAATAAAGATTTGGAGGTTTTCAAGGCAAATAACTATTCCTCAAACTACTAACTGCAATAAGAAAAATCAGCATGAAATATTCACTCTTCAAAAGAAGAAATAAGAAGCCCATTGCAAATATAACACAGAGTTGTTACAAGCTTGTTTTCAAACTTTATTGTTTGGTTGATCTGCCTTTGCATGAAGAAAAATGGTCAGTAATACTCCAAATGTCTAACTGCTGCCAGAAATATACAAGAAAAAAATTATTTCACAGGGAAGTCATGCTCTTGATATCATGGAATTAGCTAGAGGGAATCCTTTTGAGGACTTTCTTCCAGATGATGTAAATTTCATAGCTTCTAAATACTGAAACCAGTGTTAAAAGAAACGATATAAAATACTTCCTCTAGCTCTTCTATCCCGAAACCAGGCCCCTAGCAAACCTCAGCATCTGTGTACTTACACAGCTGTACTCATTTACTTAAGTTTCCATTCACAAAGTCTGGTCCACTGTTTGAACTGCAAACCCATACATGCTCTTCTGCTAACTCATCTGTTCTCAATTTGCTGAAATCAATTTCATGGTCTTCTTGTGTTTAATACAAATGACATGAAACTATCTATTTGCAAAACTCTCATAAGCTATTAATTCACACTTACTAAGAGCTGAAGATTTGCTTTGCAATTAGAGATCAACCTTAAGATAATGATCCACAAGAACCCCCCTACAGGAAGAGCCTTTGGCGGCTTTTTGCTTTTATAATGACTTTTCCTCTTATGAACACTTTGCTTACTTTTTACACTCCTATAATTAACCTGAAACTAGACTGCCACATTGGATGCTAAGCAGATTTGTTAAACACCACAATTGAAAGAACTTTTTCAATGCCATCATCTTAATATTCCCCATTTAAGTCCATGGAAAAAGCTCCATAATTCTGTTCAGGTATCCAGATAAATAAAATTAAAGTTTTCAATAATCATAAGGCACGTATAGTAATTGTATCATTTTACTAAGAGGAGCTATAAAGCACTATTAAGAACTACATCATCAAATCAGAGACCTCTCATTACCAGCACCTTGCCTGACTGAATCAGACAACTCCTGAGCCAAATGACAACATGGACATATATCCATATCTGTCAATTTAGCAAGCGTTGGCAGATATTAACCTCTGCTTATCAAGAAAAAGGGCTGCTTCTCTCCATCCAACATGGTGCTTCAGTGCTGATTTGGAATAATTCCTCACACCCACTGCTCTAGGACCATGGCTCAAACTGCTCCAACAGGGCTGCTACCCACAGCAACTTCATAACCTCTGCAAACTGTTTAAACAGCTCAAATAACTCAACTATACTAAAAATATTAATGCTGCTTCTCTTTGCTCTCTTCGACTGTCAAGAACAGCCACCAGATGTACACCAAACAAATAAGAAGCTACTGCTGGGTACCTGGCTGCTCAAGGAAATTGGCATTGCCTTCCAGGAGTAGGCATCTGATACACTCCTCAGTTTTTGAAGATTGCACACATTTGTTTACCCTTTGACAATCTTACATACAAACTCCTGCAGTCTTGTGATGGGAATCTGCAGGCAAGCATGTGCACTGAAACTAGGGGACCTTTGCAAGGTGTCAGACATCACTGGAAATGCCAGATCCCAGCCACTCAAAGCAGGATATTTGGGTAGAGCATTCACCTTCCCCACATATCCCAGACAAGCGCATTACCTCTAAGTTCTTGTCACCTGGACAGTGTTGTCAGGGGAAACAATACCCATAAGTTTCAGCCAGCTACACAAAGTCAAACAAGGGGTTAAACAACTGCAGCATGTTGCACATAATTTTTCATTAAAATGCCTTATAGTGCTTTAAAAGTTTTTCCAAGCTCAACAGTATGGTCCTGAGGGAACATTATTGGAAAAGCTTTCTGAACCCCTGTGGGGCCTATATGAAACTGGAACTAGCAGCTTTTTACATTTCCTGACAGACTGGAATTATTACTTTGGCTACTGCTGGCTCTCAGCTTTAAAGAAAGCTTTTTTCTTCTCTACATTTTATCTCAATATTTTCTGTATTATACTTTAGTTACTTTTCAGAAGCATAAACTGTTAGAGGAAGGTTAAATTATGTTGTTGCACACAAATATACTCCTGTCTTCACCAAATAAATATTTCCATTTGCATTTTCATATCACACCAAGAAATATCCTCCTGAAAGGCACAGGCAGTTCCTTCTCCCAGAAGTGAATTTCAAATGATAAATCCTTTAGAAGACAACTTTGTTTTCTCTAGCAGAGGGGAAGCATACTGCAGAAACAGGTGAAAACAAAGTTGCTAAAAATGTTACTCCTGAGCAGCATCAATATTTTGGGGAAAAAAACCAAGTATTAGAGACACCTGCTTTTTCTGTAGAAAAAAAATCTGTGCTAACCTCTGAGTTGAAAGGACCATATCTGTGGCCAGCAGCATCAGGTTGCTCAGAGTAGAAGGCATAAACATATGGCCTGAAAGAAAGAAAGGTCTTGTTCAGGTTAGCTTTCCTTTGACAACACCACAAAAACACAGGCTAGCCAGGTCAAGTCAAATCCAGTTAGCTTTCCAATGAGACTTAGCTCTATGGAAAAACAACTGTTTCTCAGTCATAGAATCCTATAATTATTTAGCAGTTCTCTGTTTCCATGGCATGATTAGTTGTTTTGCAGCTCTATTAAACCCAAGAACACATGCAAGGGGGCGCGTGGGGTACCATCTGAGGACACAAGCTCATTCTAAATCTTGTAGGAGGAATCCCAACAGGAGCTTGCCTGAGCCTTGCAGCAGCATGTGGGGACTTGTGTAGTAAAACCCACTCATAATTAAAATCTGAACATTTTCCTAGAGCTCAGTGTCCAGTTCTACAACTGCCATTGCCTGTAAGGTTGCTAAACCATATTAGGCTCAGTAGGATAAGAACAATGCAAGTTAATCCATGTAATTACATGCTTCTTGATAAGAAATAAATTTATACAATACATTTATTTGGAAGAATCTGATGCTGATGGTTAAAAGCTGATATGAAAAAAACCCCAAAAACCCAAACCAACAAACCAAAAAAAACCCAATTCCCAAAGAACTCACACTAAACACAAAACCAAACAAATCCTTAAATCAGTGATGGCTTGTAGCAGACAAAAATAAATTTCAGAAATTAATTTTTGCTTGCTCTTCCAGCTACTTATACAGAGAAGACAAACTAGCAGTTATCCAACAGCAGATAACAAGTGAATTACCTTTCATTGTCTGGAAGGGTTAACCACTGAAGTATCGTTAATATTCTGCGCTCATGGGGGATGACACTGGACCACAAAATACAAAGACATACCACATTACCATAGAATACAAAAAAGCATCAACAAAATGCTTGCTATGAACTGAATTTAATATTAATATAATTTATCATAATAGCATAATTTGCTTTTAGCATGCTGTATGTTCTTTACTTGCAAACAGAATCATATCAGACCTCCTGAATGTCTACATACTCCAAATGAATGATTAAAAGTTCACAAATATAGTCAGAACTCAAAGCAATAAATCTACCTCTTCTAAGGAAGAGTGAATAAAAGAGCCATTCTGGTGGCTTTAACCCAGATGAACCTTTTTGTATGCTACCATTGGACAGCTGGCATGGGTAAAATCAGTATTATATTGCTCACATCACTACAAGTTTAAAAAACATCCTGCTCTGGTAATACTCCTTTTCCCTGTTTCCAGGCACTGGAAAGATTTCATTGCCTTAGCAGTAGCCACTGAGGGCTAGGCTGGTGTGAATCAGAAGAGAGCCATCTGAAACACCAGGCCAGCAGCACAGGACTTGAACCCTGACAGCTTCTCACTCTGCAGAACAGACCCATCTGACTTTCCTGCTCGTACAGTGGTTGCCATTCTCAACTGGCTGCTGAGGTCAAGGTCATGCTATGAGAATTACTAACCCCAGAAACTGTTTAAGTTCCAAATATCTCATCTGAGGAAAGCTCTGCAGACCAGTGACCACACAGTCATTTTAATACAATGGCACAGTCAGTCCAGAATCCACTAGCTCAATAGCAGAATCCCAAGGCAGGAATCAGACACCACCATCAGTCACCATAATGAACTGAATTCAGCACTCTTTGGAGACCTCTGGCAGAGAAATAGAAATGGCAGCAGCCATTTGCAAATACTTTTGTTTTTAATGCCTTGTAGACAAACAGTAGTCCTCAGTCTCCAACTACACGGAGAACTTTGAATTGTAAAAAACCATAAAAATGAGAATTTATACTAAAATTTGCAAATAAGACAAAATTTTAAACTGGAAAAATAATTTTGGATACTGTCCAACTTTTATGATTTTATTACTTGTGCAATATAAAAAAAAAGAAAATCCACTAGTTCAATTAACTCATTTAACTCATTTCTGACTAAAATAATTTGAAAATTCTGCTTTCCTGATAAAGTCTGCCTGAAAATTCTCCCAAAAATATCCTGTGTACCAGATGAAGTAATACAGGTATAAGACATTTACATTTCATTCATATCTAAACTGGCTGCCTCATTCCCTTAGTAGTACCATTCATACAACCTTTCCTTTTTACATTTTGTATCCCCAAGCATGCATTGGCCAGGGTGTTTATGTTGACTATGTAGCTATAGTTTAGTCTGTAGAGCAGCAGAGTGGAGCTCTGTCAGATTTCATCTTGCAAGCCTAAACCTGTCATCAACTCATGGTGTGTTTTATGATTCCCTCCATGTGCTTTATGATATTTAGAACAGTAAACCGTATTAGTTCTAAAGAAATCACAAAAGAAAAATAGTAAAATCCCCTTATTACTTCAGTCTTGTAGCTTAAACATTTTCTTTGCTCCTGCAATCCTGCCAGAAGCTGTAATAGAAAGACTGATCTACATGAATTCCTCAAAAATTATCAAAAATCATTAATTTTTGGTTGTAAAGATACATTTTAGTGGGAACAGGGAAAATAAGTTGAAATAATTAAACAAGAGAACAAACAGCAGAGATCCTCAAGGCTGTCTCTTAGGAAAGGGAAATTGGGTATCTTGCTCAAAGGACAGACTGCATGGTAAAATGAATGAATCAGACCTTTAAGGAAATTAGACTGGTGATGTCAATTAACATAAGAGGACAATAAAAGGACACTCAGAGGACTAAGAAACATTGCTAGCAATACTAAGGAAGCAAAAAACCACACTTTGAAATGACAGTAATTTTTCACATAGGCACACGTTTTCAGGCAACTGAAGATAAAGTCAGTGCATGAATCTAAAGCAGGAAACTGTAGCATCAGCTTTAGTTATCAGAAACATTGCACAAATGAAACAATAGAGAGTTACAGGTAGTTTCCAACCTACCGAATGATTGGAGAAAGGAAAACAACTTAATCAAAACTTATATTGAATTAATTGTGAATCATTACTTAAAAACCTCCAGAAAACAGAAGGTACTTACATAGACCAGAAGAACGTGCCAGCTTTCACCCCTTGCTTAGCTGCAGTAATCCAAATCTAATGAGGAAAATATAAGAGGATTAGAATGTGTTCAGATCTCTAATGACTCTCTGAAATCAAAAGAAAATGTTTTCAGGACACATTCTTCTACCCTGAGCCTAGAATGAAAATTGCAGTTTTCAGCCTCGGCCCTAATTTGAAAACGAGGAGCGACAAGCCTATGTAAACTCTGTAGCAGTGGGTCAGCTGCTGGGCTGTAGACTTTCACCCCTAAATCTCTATGTTATTTTAATTAAAAGCACTAAGTTTCATGGCCAGGAATTCCTCCAGTATTTAATTTCATTTTCAAAACCCAGCCACTACTCACCTGACCCTTTTAGCGTTCAGGTTTTGGAGGATACTCAGTTAGAAAGGAGCATACCTTAACACTAATCAGTGACTGCATAAATGTCCCTCTTTTCAGTATCCTACAATCAGTAGCCATCAGTAGAAGATGTGTTAGGAGAGAGCACAGAAAAAAGGCCACAGAGAGAGACACAGAGGTGCTAAGACTGCAGGGAGGGACACCTGCCTACACAGATGTTTAAGAACTTCTTGAGTTCACCCGATGGAGTGATTGATGGGAATGACTGAAAAATCTCCATGAAATTTTCAAACCCTTTTTTTCAATCCTTCAAGTCCCTTGTATTTTTTCTATCTATAAAACACTTTGCAGCAGAAAGTTTGCAATGTAGTCACACACTCTGTATTTTTAATACTGCTTGGTTTAAAACCTGCTGTTTTTCAGTGGGGTTAGGATACCATTGTCATACTTCGAAACAGGTTATTAATACTTTTTCCTCCCACTTCTATACAACATTCATGATATTCCCCTCTATTCATTCCTTTTCAAGCACAGGTTTGTTTGATCTTTGTCTAATGAAAGCTACACCATACTTCTGGTTGTCCTTACCACCCTCTTTCTCTCTTCTATCCTATGACTACACAAGGCAAGGGAATGAGAATGTTGGAAAATCAGAAAGGTTCAAAATCAAGGAAAGTAAACAATGTTTGCAGCTCTACAGAACTAAATTTCTCTTGCAAGGAACTGTCCAAATTATCTTGAAACTCTTCAGAAGTGTCACTGTGTATAGAGCTAAATTATTTCCTCCCATTATTTATGCATAGTGCAATGTATACACATAATGAAATATTAGGACAAAATGTAGCTCACTTACGTAATAATTGCAGGTTTTTGTTTACTTTAAATCAACTCTTTAAAAATACAAAGTCCCAGTACCTTGCTCAAACAGGCACTTATAAACTGCCATCTGGACATGCATCATTCAAATGTCGTGGCTGAATTATTCACACATCAGTCTTAATTGAAATTGATTTGGCACAGGAATGAAAGATTGTTTGTACAATGAGGTTATAGTTAACAGCAATTAGATTTGAATATTGTAATGTTATTTATGGGAAAATTGGTCATATTGCGTTTCCATTGCCCTGGACACAACCTTTACCTCTCACCTTCTACTCCACCAAATTTGACTGGAGTCAGTGCAATTAAATTAAAATTACAGCTATAAAAGCTCATTTGTTTTCATTTTATTCTAACTTTTTAATAATGCTAGAAACTGCTTTCCCAGTGAAAATCACATCCAGACTAACGCTATAGAATGGATGTTTTACTAAATATGTGCAGCAAGATCAGGAGTAGAATGGCCATGGGTTTGGAGCCCACTCTTTGTTTTCAGGTGCTTCTCCTGAAGAATCTGATTTCAGGTTTGGTTTACATTTACAAACACTCAAGCTGTCACCAAAAAGGGAGTCCCCCAAACATCTCCCCCAGCCCCTGCAGCCCCAGCCTCCCACCAGCACCACATGTTGCATGGTGACAATGAGCATAAAATGATGTGGCTGCACAGTAACTGCCAAAAAAGAGGGGAAAAAAAAGTTTTAAATTTATATTGGAATTTGGGCGTTATAGTGAATAACAGCAATATTGTTTTCAGTATCTCAGGATACTGAAATTTGAATATCACATTATACTAGCCCTGACGGGATGGGACAGAAGGCTGCAAGTGAACAGGAAAGGAGGCGCACCTACAACACAGTGACCCTGTCACACGTAAGTAGGATTGCAATGTAAGGATCCTTGTTTGTGCCATACAAGTCAGCACAGTCAGGGTGTATAACCAGCCTAGATACTGTCTAATTAAGGCAGTTATTCATTACATATTCATTAGTGCATCGTGGTATTCACAGGTGAAAACAGGGCCCACACTTAAAGCAATTTCCTTTGCATTGCAGATTTATTCATAGAGAAAAGCCCAGTTCTGGCAGAGAAAGGTGGTCAAAGACACATTCAGCATGAAATGTGTGTCAGCTTCCACTGTTATGCTCTGTCTTGCTCTACTTGGAGAACCATTTTCCCCACAGCAGATTTTTCTTTGAAAATATTTGTATTCCTGCAAATTCTAAATAATTTTGCAGATAATTTGTTGGCACCTTCCCAAAGATAAGTCCAGGGAATTCTGTGTTTGGATTTTACCATCTGCAAACTCTAGTTTGACTTCCTAGTACTTTGGTCCACACAGGCCCAAACTGTCCAGTCTGCCTGGCTGTCTAAATGAGACCAGCCAATTTCTACCCTCAGCAGCTGAAGACATCCCGTACTGCCCTGTACACAGCTGAATTCACCTCTGACCCTGCGTATTTTAGGTGGTGATTTTAAACACGTGCCAAAAGACACTCCCTCCAGTCAGGCAGGTAAAACACTTGTCATCCTGACAGATGAATAACTGGCTCATTGGTATATTGCCAAGTAGCCAGCACATCTGTGAGAAAGTGGTCACTATGTTTTCATTCTTGTTGAGCATAGAGTGTGCTTCATGAATGTCACCTGAAAACAGCGAGCGCTGGGGTAATGCACATAAGTGGAGATCACCCCCAATTGTGCAGTCCTAAGAGCAGGAAGTGCAGCCTAAAGGCATTCAGCCTAAAGGCTTCAGAGAGGGAAAAGCTGCACCTGCCAGTATTCCACCTCAGGAATGCAGCCATTTACATTGGCATTAGCAGTTTAGATGAGTACATGTGTCTGCTGCACTTGAAATAAGATGAATAGCTAAGACAAGGATCTGTTGAAGTCAAAAATCAGCAAATCAAAGGGCCCCTATCTGTCTACCAACATCTGAGTGAGTCTCAATGACTCCATCCTGACTTCGGCTGGCAGAGCCTGATTCAACTCAAGCTTACAACATATCACTACTGGACCTCTGTTCTCCTTTTCTAAGGGGAAGGGAAAGAAAAAAAAAAAAAAAACAAAACCAAAGCAGCCAGCCCTTTGATGTATTTAAATCCAAATTAAGAAAATTCAACACTATCACCATGGTACTTAAAACTGCTACTCAGCAATACATGTGTGGATGTCTTTCAGGTGCAGAGAAGCAGCCATATCGAGGTGGAAGAATTTCTATTTGCATTGATCAAGCTCTAAATAAAATACTCAGCATGTTTTAGAGTTGAGACACTGCTGATAAATTTAGCGGTAGCGGTTTCTACTTGGGATACCTTTTGTTACCCAGACCCCTTGGTGGATAGGCAAAATTAGACAGCAGACTGGAGCAACTGATGGCAGCACACAAGTTTATTTAGTATTTTGGCTACAAGGATAGTAACTTCAGTAGAAATACTGGCAGCAAACTCTTACTGTGTTCTTATCACCAGTGACTGCCTCTCACTGTCTAAGTTAAATTCATTGTCTTTCAAGGCAGTCTACAAGCTGTGCAGGAGGGACAGAAAGAAGTTACCAGATGCCCTCCCAACCTTGTCCATTCAAACCAGTTGAAATTAAGAAGCAAATAAGGGTAATTGTTCTGCAAGGTCAGTACCATTTGTGAGCTTATGCAATCTATTTGTCATGCATAATTTTGTTGGGTTTAACTGTTAATATGTTAGAATTTTATAGTCAGCTGTTTAACCATGTCAAATGTCCACTCCTGGCTTGCATAGGGGACGAGCCTAACTGTATTGCAAACTATATAAAGGACATATTTCTGAATTAATTTGCTTAAGCAGAGAGAAAGGGAATAAATACTTGAAAAATAATGAGAGATCAACCACTCTATCTTCCTACTATGCTATAGGAAACCAACAATATCTAGCTTTTCCAACACAGAAAGACCTATTAAATTATGCAATCACAGATTCACACCTAGTACACTGGCATGTGTCCCGAAAAATAGTATGAAAATAGTATGCATGCTTTCCCAGATATGTATTAAACATATCCTGCAGGATATGTTTAATATATTTTTATATCCTCTGTGTTGAATGACTACAATTCTCCTCCATTACTTATAGATAAAAGTAGACAAGGCTAAACAACAAGTTAGGTGTCAATGCCATATGGAACATGGAAGTCCCAGGTTCTCCCTTCTTACTGCTAGACAGGTGTGCAAGTATTTAATCCAGAGTTATTCAAGATAGCTGTGGAATTTTCTTTGAAAATCTGCACAGAAAGTGGGACACCGCCCTGGTTTTAATCTTCCATGAATAAACAAGAGCCCACAACTTCACAAAGGCTGACACATATTTAACATGTCACATGAATCAAAGGCTGCATCAAAGGCTCATGTAGCAAGGAGAAATCCCTTCCACATCTAGGCAAAGGTGGGAAAGAGGAAATCACAGCATTTCCTAGTAAAGAAAGGTGTACAATACTGGTGCAAGCACGTAGAATTAATACTACTCCTGCACCATTTGCAATTTGTTCTGCCAACAAGGTAAAATGTGGAGTAGCCCCTTCCACACTTCTTACAAAACAGAAATGCTCTCCCAGACTTGGAAACTAAACATTGCCTTCTTGCCCAGACAGAAGATTTGTGGTACAAGAAGTCTATTAAATAAATAGACAAAGTCCTGTTGCTTGTTCATGGCTCAAGCTGGGTAAAAAGAAGTACTTTTAAAACAGAATCACAGACATCTCTCCTTCTGCTTCCCCTACCAATCAACAAAGTGATTGCAAGACCTGTTCAGGATGGAAAGGCAGACAACAGTGTTCTGAAGCTTCTTCTGTAATTATTAGACAGAGAAAATTTTAAAAATTCCAATAATGGTTTTAATCTAAATACTGATATATAAATTTGGATGAATCAGGAACATCATGTTAAGATGCAGGGTGATGATAGCTAATGTCCACAGGCATACCTTGAAAACTACAAAGACAGTTTCACAACATGCTGTCTGATACCTAGGAATGTCATGGCTATGTTTAAGGATTAACACCTCAAGATAGTCCTTTTCTGAGGGTTGTAGTCTTTAAAAGGTTGATAGTGAATTTAAAGCTACATATAAGGCACCCTAAACATCCATAAATACTTTTATAATTATGATATTTCCAAAGTGAAAGATATCTTTGGTCCCAAACTCAGATGCAAGCCAGGTTACCTTGAGAAGGAAACTCTCTGTGCCCCTTAACCAGCAGTTGTATACCTTGCCTCTTCTGACCTTGGAGTGGCCAATGGGTTATTTCTAAAGATCATGAAAGATCACTTAAAAAAAAGCCCAATATATGTAGTGTAAGCTTAAACTCACTACATCAAACCAAGACATGGAAAGCTATGCTTAACAGAAGCCAAAGAAAGACAGCTGGGGCCTAAATTTAGTGCCTAAAGTTACTTGGGATGAAAACAAGAACGTCAATGTCATGAAAAATGAACAGTAAACTTAGTTTCCCCCATGGGCCCTGATGCTCACCATTTCTGTGAGACGCTGTTGCAGTATGAGGAGTGGTTTTATGGCTGTTTCCTATGAAACACTTTTGTTTTGAAAACAAGGCTGTTTTAAGCTTATATAATAAATCAACATTGTACACTAAATCAGGAAGTCCCATAACCAGTTACAGCACCCTGAAACACTTCCAAGCTACTTTCTCCCCTCTTCTCCCTTTCCTAATGCTATTAATTTCTCATAATTCGTGGAGTAAAAGCATTCAGATATTCATCTGCCAAATCCCACTGATGTCTGGGGTAATCTGGCTGGTTTTCAGCAAAAGACTGAGTATTAGAACAACTAAAGAAAGAAAGAAGGAAGGAAAGACCACCAAACACCCCTACATTTTCATAGAACCATATACAGTAGGCCAGCTTCCAGGAGCAGAAACCTACATATACAGCTTCCAGGAGCAGAAAGTATTTCAGAAATTATCAACATTAAATTACATTCTCTTCTAGGCGTTTTAGCCATAATACAAAGCTGGGAGTTTCAGACACTTTCTGCCTTCTTGCACAGAAAAACACTAATTTCCAATCCTGTGCAAACCATATCCCACTCTGCAGGTTTTGAGTACTTCAGTTTGAGACCCAGGACCTAAAAAGAGCCAGCTGAATATGTGATATGACAGACAGGATTCCTGTGATACACAGACCAGGTATCCCTTTCTACCCCCTTAAATGAACTGTCTCATCTTTCAAAACCCAGGTATTTTGGGCAGTCTATGTCAATGTCATATTTAAAGAAAATTATAAAAAGGTGTTAGAAACTGACTGCATCTAACCAATACATGGACAGAAATAACTTCTCTACTAAAAAACTGCAGCTCTCTTATTAAATGTGCAATTCTTGCACATGCAGAGAGAGTACAATTTATATCATATTTCTGCAAGAGATCTATCACCTCCTTATCCAGCTACTCTCTCAGGCCACTCTATCAGGTATGCCCAATTTATGTGTTTCCCTCATATTATAGTGTATTGGGATTGAATTATAGTCCTTACTCTGTGCATTTGCTTCCAATTTTCCAAAGACATGTCCAGTTTATTACATGATTTGTGTGTTTCCTTTTCAACAATTCTTCAGAACAACTGGTTTATTTTATCATCCTACTTGGATATGCAACCCCCCCCCCCCCCCCCCCCACCCCATCCTTTGAGGATTTCATCCAGCACAAGGTCACCCACTATTGCATAACTTTCTCAAACTCTTCTCAGATGACATTTTTCATCCAGAAAATCTTTTATTCCCTGGCTTAGCATAGGTGTGGGAATTAACAATGTTCCCCACACAACATAGCAGGTGATGAAGCATTCATAGACTTATATTGTACTTCTAAAATGTCATAGTTTAAAAGTAGAGACATTTGTACAAGCCCCAACAATTAGTTCTCCACTAACTCCTAGCTAACCATGGTTAAGGTAAGATGCAGAATTAAATTTGCAATGCATAATTAAATTCCAGCTGCTTAATGAGTTGTCACACAGCAGCTGAGCCACAGAATTATCTATAAGCTTGACTCGAGACTGGAGCAGGTTTTAACTGTGTGGTTCTGGCTGTAGCTGAGATAAAGAGATTCCACACTGCTGCTCTTTTGCTGCTCCTAGTTTTGATCCTGATTCCATCTGGAAAGGTAATAGCTACATTCCTCACCCTGTCTTCTCCTCACCACCCAGGCCAAAAGCTAACCCAGGGCACAGCTAGCCAAGTGAGTGCCTCACTGACACTTTTCAAAAGCACAAATACCTCATTCTGTCTCAGCTTCAGCCAGACACATCTGCCTGTTACACATCTGCCTGCACCTCTAAATTGTCTTGTCTCACATTTGTTGTGGACTAAAGGACTTGCAGACAACACACACTTGCTAAGCCTACAACTGTCAGAGTAACTCCTTTAGCCTTTTGGGATATTTGTCTCAGGAGATTTGGGGAGTGACACAGATCAATTTAGCAAACAAATTACAGATTATGTTGTTCCCAAACCCCTTCCGATTTCCTCACCTCTACCATATCTCACTCTTTTGTGAGGTTGATTCATCACAGAGCATTTAAACCATAGTTCCCTAAACAATCAGTGCAACAAAATGTGCATGAACCTTGGCTTCCCGCACTTAAACCTTGCTGGTTTTACTTTTGTTGTCAAAGAAAGCCACTACAACATGCACCAACAGGGAAAGTGCAGCAGAAGCAAAGGGACTGTCTGCTGTAGTAACACAGAATACTTGGAAGGACTCCATCTCCTTGCCTAGAATAAGGGTTCAGACCTAGTCCAACACTAATCCAAGAGACTGGACCAGCCTCTGCTGCTGTGCTCAAGGCAGAAATTAATTCTCAAGTTTCCACAGCCTCTGCAGTAAATCAGGTAACAGTGATTACTTGTGGACTTTAGTAATAATTATGAAATTATGCTGTGCTATGCTGACAAAATATTTATACTAGAACTTCTCAAGAACATTACTAGGACAAAAAACTAATAAACCCATAATGAAAAGGAAACATTATGCCATAGTAACAAAATCACTGTGTTACACTGCTGCCTCAAGTGAGGCTTTTATCCTAGCTGTGTCTAATTTATACTTATCAGTGCAAACACCTTTCCATAGTCAATGGATTTATTATTCTGAAAAGCAAAAGCCAGCTCAAAACATTACATTAAACTGATAGACGGAGGGGCAGCCAGGGGGAGGAGGGGGTAGGGATTAGGTACAAATTGTTAACATATGGTTTTTTTAATTATTATTATTGGCTATGTTCCACAGCACAGGGGGAGGGGAGAAGAGGGAGGAAGAAAAAAGTAGGAGGGAATTTGAAACTTACTGGTTGACCTCCCCACCATCTGTGATTGAATTTCTCTCGCCCTCGAAGACTGAAGCTGGCATCAAACACTGGGTCATACATCGAATTGCCAACAATCCCATGTGATTCAGGATAGAGTCCCTTTGTGCAGAAGTAGATTAATTAGTAAAACCCTAATGAACACAAATGCAGTGCTTCCTAGCTATCTGAAAGTACCACTAAATTATTTTAAAATAAGTATCTTTGTAACTACATACCAGAAAAGATTTTTACTTTCAGATAAGCACATTTAAATGTGGCTGTAGTAATGAAAGCAGTAAGAGATTATTGAATTGTGCTAAAAAGTATAAAAAACTCCTGTTACTCAATACTTTCAAGTTTTTCACACTGTTTAAAAGTTAGTTTGAGGTCATCAAAGAAAAAGCATAAATGTATAAAAACAAGATCTGTTTGTGCTTACAGTTCTTATTTATGAATGCCCTTTCTGGACACAGTAATTCATTCTCTGGTTGCAAGAGTAACACTTAGCATTTCCATTTTATACTATTTTTATCTCCATGACAGCTTCTGTTAGATAAATTATTTCCAAGGGGGAAAAAAAATGAGGCAGGTCACTCAAAGCCATGGCTTAATACCACAATTTGTCCTGCAGTAAAAGCAATTCAGGGAGAAGACCAGAAAATTCCTTTCTCTGGGCCCTCTCTCCTCCCATCCTATTCTTTCTCCATATGCTCCACTCTCATCCATTTAAACATTTGTGCAGTAGCTGCACGAAAGAAAAAGAAGGGGAAAAAATTGCAGCTGCAGGTGGAGAGTCCCTCGTGGCAGCTTTGGGAGCACTATCAGTGTCACACAGGTGTGGGGACAGCCTGGCTGCCAGCCCTGCCACCGCAGCACAGCGCTGGCTCCGCTCTGCAGGGCCAGCACCAGGCAGCTGCTCACTGCCCCACTGACTCCGGCTGCTCCAGCAGAGAAACAACTGCTGGTTGTATTCAGGGCAGCATTTCAGGGGTGGTTTTTTTTTCCCCTAGGAAAACTTTGACCTGTAATTATGCAGCAGTACAAATAACTGCAGAAGTAGGCATAAGAAAGCTGTGACAGTGTGTAATGGTGAGATACAATCCATTTCACCATTTCAAAATAAAAGAAAATACTTAAATACTTTTTCTTCAAAATGAAGAAAATACTTAGCATAAATAAATACCAAAAAGGATGGACAATGAAGCAGTTATACATATATATATTGGGGGTGGTTTTTTTGTTGTTTTTTTTTTTTTTAAACCTTGCTTCCCATAACACACACTTTACTCCAGTGCAACATTTTATCATTAAATCATTAAAAAATCCTTCCCAGGGACTTACGGTAGCAAGGGTGTACAAGTTGGGGAATGTTTTTGTAGGGTAAACAGGTCGCATGTAAGGAGAATGTGTTCCACAAGATCCTGAAAAATCAAATGCAAATGTGAGGAAGCAAAGCTCTTAGACATGGAAAACAAAACCAGAGAAAGCATTTTTTGTGACTCAAAATGATGCAGAAACTAGGTAAATTTTAACTAATTTAAATGAACTTTCTGCTGCTTAACAGCAGTCAGCAGTAAGGTCAGTAGTAAATCTACTAATGCACTCTTTGCATTTCACAACTGACAACTCAGATAATGCCTCCAGATGACTACAGAACCAGCTATATTCCCATAGACTGTTTTTTTTTTCCTGAGCTAGTCTCCATCTGGAGTCATTGGAAGTGTCTTGTTAAGTAAAACAACATGAGAAAACACAGGTTTATTTTAAGTAATAAATACACCAAAGCTGCAGTTTCACACTGGCCTTTGTGGCCTCAGCCCCCCATAATACAATCATTCAGGCTGGAAAAGACTTTCAAGATCATTGAACCCAACCATAGCTGGCTACACAAATATGAGGGCCAGCACACACTGGGGAAAAAACCCCAACACATTTCAAGGGTACAGGCAGACACAGAGAGGCTCAAGTATTCAGTGCACCCAGCCCTCCACAAGCCCAAGGGGATGCCCATTCCCAGGAGAGTGAGTGCAGGACATGTTTTCAGCCAGTTACCAGGCACCCAAGTACAGCTTCTGCAGCCACTTATCCACACCTCTGACATTTCTGAACCAAGTGGTAAATTTTGTGGGCACCTACCAACTAGCCTGTAAGCATGCATGATACATATAATGTACTAAAGACAAATTTCTTTGCTGACAAAAAAACAAGAAGGTCACTGATTCTGAGCAGCATTTCCCAAAGCAGCAGCTGTGTAATGCATTATTCAGGGTGCTTTGATATCACCTAATTTAACGGGGACTTCTGCCATTTCACCTCCATGCTGACCCTTCTGTTGCCCAACAAACAATGAAAGCAATTGAGCTGCAGGAGACTGTCTTTCATTTATTGACAGAAAATAGATGTACTCACTCAGTTTTTCAATATTGGGCATGACCTTGTTCCCTTTCTTCATATATGATGCACGGAAACCATCAACAGAAAAGATGATCAGAGGAGGACGAACAAAGCTGAAGGCAAAAGTGGCAGGAATATAATGCAGCACTTCAAAATTTTAGGGTTTTTTTATTTCCACTTGCTCACTGAGTCTCTAGGAAATCCAGAAGTTCAGTTACTGTATAAAACTATGTACCTATAGTCTTTTACATACTTAACAGACCATGAGAAACTGATAATCCTCACACTTAGTAACAGCCAGTGCTCACTCACAGTCAGTGAAAGGGCTGATATCCAACATAAAGGACATCTTCCCTGGGCTAAAAAGATATAACCCATAAAGGCAAATGCTTGTAGAAGGCGATGGAGAAGAAGATTTACCATGCACAAGCACCCACTCCACCACACAACCTCTAGTTAAAAACCACATGTCTCACAACCATTGGTCTTTCTCAGACAGAAGTGCATGGGGCATTTGGAGCATGCTCTGTGAGGCACAGCTCATTCTAACATACTACAGATGACAGGATTTCCTGTTACTTTATTACTTTTTGAATTTAGTACTGCTACTGAAAGTCAAGTCCAAGCAGGCAAATACACGCCCCATGGATGGACACACCTGGGCTTTTAAGGTCATCTACTGCAGGGGTTAGAGCTGTCACTGTCACCAGGAGAAGCATCTCCAAGCTATCCTACTAACAGCACAGGCTGAGCTGCAACCCACCACAGCACCTGAGCAGATGCTTTCCTTTAGGGATGATAATGAGACAAATGCTTTCAGAAGTTACTTACTTTCTCCATGTTACTCATATGCTCAAATTCCTCACTAAGTAAGTCTGTACCCCACTTAGTTTAGAAATCCTTTCATTTAAGAGCATAATGCTGAAAGTACAAAATTCCATTAAAAAACCCCAAAAAACAGCCCGAACTGTGTTCATGTATGGCTTATTCTGAATTTTACTGAAAGCAGAACAACCTTGGCCTTCCCACTGACTTCAGAGGAGTCTGGCTACCTCCCCTATGCATGTAAGTGAAGCAGTCAAACCCAGCAGCAGATGATTGAAGACCAAGAGTTCAAACCCAAATATTATACACCACTACTCATCCAGCAGCACAAAGGCAAATGCATGACAATATTATGAGCCTAACTTTAGAAATGGGGAAGCCCAGGAAAGAATCCAACCCACAGTTATTCAGCCTGCATGACAGAGCCAGTGCAGAAACGTGAGGGGCAGAGATCCAAGGCAGAGCTGGGGACCACTGGCTTTGCTGTATTTGCCTTTCCAGATGCAACCAAAGCACTTACCCTGCTGGACATTCAGGAGCCTTTATCTCCTCACAGTCATCATCCACCCAGTGGGTTTCTCCTACCAGAAAAGTCACATTGGAGTTTAAAAAACCAAAAAATACAAAATCTGTGGATACAGCTACAGGTTTCACAGAAAATATACATTAAAAAAAATAAAGTCTAGTTCCAGTTAATGGACTGAATTGTCATATTTCCCATCAAAAATGAGAATGTGTTTCCACAAAGCAGAACAAGTGATCTGGTTATATTCTATTCAACAAAAACAGCCAAACTAGCACTTCTACAATAGCTCTTAAAACTGGAGTTAAAAGTGTCCTTTTGACCACAGGAGACAGTGGTAATACTTTAGACACAGTGGTCATCTATTTTAATTTTTTTTATTTTTGATCTGTCAAAAACAGGTAGCACTGCTTCTGGCTGTGAATTCCCACCCTCCTACCATCAGTGCTGATGGCTCCATGAGCTGATTCAGCTGGCTAAGTGCACAAAACAAAATTCAGTCTGGGGAAGAAAAACAACTCTAAATAGTTTCCAGCTGGCTTAGAGAGGTGATCAGCTCATGGATCAGGTGAGACTCAAGCTAAAAAAAGGCATTAAATACTCTTTCAGAGCTACATTAGTTAAAATTATTTTGTGCAATCCACTATTTTCTTAAGGTTTTCACTGCTGAATGCTGTCTATAGAGTGGCTCATGACTTGCATTTTTACAGATCAATTGAAAAAAACAAATTATTAACTAACAACCCTACTTTCTGAACCTGGCACTATTAAAGGAACTGCAATTCAATTAAAAGAACAAAACAAAAAACATCATAGAAAAGACCTGCAGGAAAAGTGTGCTGCGGCAATTCCAACTGACCATGACAAGAGGTGGATGGACAATTTCCAAGGCAAAAAAGAAACACAATGCACTATCCTCAGATGGGCAAAGGCACGAATAAAGAGGAGACACTGTTCTCACATTAAGGTTAGTCATGTCAGAGTTCCAGCGTTGTTGAGATAGCTTGTTATTATTCAATTAAATTAAGATTATATATATTGAAGCTAGAGACATACAAATTCCTCTGTCTTGACCGTTGTGAGAGGAAGCTCATGAAAAAGGCAGGAACTGAAAACTATACCATTATTTAAGTGGTCTCAGCTTCTGGTTTCTTTGGGAAGGGTAAGGACAATCTACAGGGATTTGTTGAAAAATACACACTCCATTTGGATTCCCAACAGCAAAACCCAAGTAAAAAAAAAGGCCCATTTTCAGTGTATGGATGTGTCTAGACTATTGTAATTTTGTGAACACATGCATTTGTCCAAAATGGTGAAACAATTTCAAACTGTAACCCTTGCCCCTGCAAAGTTAATGAATGAAAAAACCTAAGAACTAGGTGAGATACAAAAGCAAAAACCTGTAGAGCTCATTACCAAGGACCAGAAGACCTACTGTCAATGGCAGACACACTAGACAGGCATCCACGCTCTGAAAGAGCGGGGCAGTGGATGAAAATGAAGTCCTCAAAGCCCATCCACCCACCAGGCAGTAGGGGCTGTCTGCAGCCAAGGTGTGTCACGGTCATCTGAAGCCCACGGCCACCCACCTGCGAGTAATAGCCCTCGAGTAATAGCCCTCGCATTCTTGCAACTCCTCTTCCACAAGAAACAAAGCTTACAGATGTTAGACCAAGTAGTTTGAGCAGGATCTTTTGTGGTGGGGGTGGAGAGAGGTCTTTAGGACAGAGATAACATATCTAGGAATGCTCCGCTCCTTCTGGGATCATTAGATAACCCTGCCCTCACTGTGATGCAGAAAAACGCATCTGAACACTTTAGAGCTTTGCTTTAAACTCTTCTTCATCCACCTCCACCTCTTCTTCTTCCTACCATTACCTCTACAGGCAAAGATAACATCCTTCAACATATTATTTACCTCTGCCCAGAAATTTACAAATGCAATTCCCCACTTCCCCCACCTCCTAAAAAAAATAAAAAAGAAAAAAAAAATCAAAGCAAAACAAGGAGAGGTCCTCTTTTAGATGAAAACTTTTTACCCTGTCTTCTATTGGGTTTGGAAAGATAAGAGGCAGAAAGACCAAAGACCTACCTTTGCAAACGACTTGGTAATTAGTACAACAATCTCCTCTACTTAAGCAGTCTTCAGAGCAGTGACAAGCATTGTCATCATTCCTGGTTTCTCCACAGCGATCTTTGGTACACTCCCAGCCCCGAGCTAAAATATTCACAATGTAAGCAAGAGTGAGAGATTGCAATCAAAACAAAAACTATTCATTCACGCTATAATGAAAACACTCTAGTCGTTAAAGTAGGTATGTCAACCAGAAGAAAAAAGGACCCTTGTCACTTGCAAGTGCATAAGGGCACCTCCACAAACAGGTGTGTCATTATTTCTGATACTCTCAGGTGTTGGTATTCCAGGCTTTGTACAATCTCAATGCCAGAAAAAGTGTGGAAAGGAAAAGACAAAAAAGGATTTTCACGGATAAATGGTGGAACCTAAAGCACAAACTAAGATTTCTGGTGTTTCTTGGGTAATCTTTGTTTTTCCTCACAATTACTACAGTCCCCTATTCAAAGTAAGAAAGTAGAAAAGAGACTACATCGATGCAAAGAGATGCCTTACTCCCCACCATCAGTTCCTCCCCCACAGGGCAGATCCATCACCAGCCTCAAAGATATGAAAATACAAGAGCTGTTCTTCAGAAAAAAGCATGGCATGGTCACTGTGAGAACTCCATCTTCTCTCATCTTGCAAGTAAATTTAAGATCTGGCCTGTCTAAATTAGGGGCTCGCTCAAGGGTAGTACAGTGCTTTGGAACAGGGCCAATGATTTTAAACATATGGTTTTCCACAATAAGGCCCACACAAGAAACTATAAAAATCACTTTAGACAACATGCACTCAGTAAAAAACCACACATCACAGCAGTGTCTTTTATCCCCTTTTCTGCTTCATTTGGGGTTTTTTTCTGTAAGTGTGTAATATTTACAGATCACACATGTGGTAATTGCCTGAATAAATGCCTGTGGGAGTATATGACCACTCCCACAACAGCCCCAGGGGCTATAGAGGCATCCATATGCATATGTGAACATATGTGTCTGCTGTGGACAAGAGGGTGAGGAACTGAAATTCTGCCTTTGGTAGCAGACGTCATGCTGAAAGTCCTCAAAAAGAGCCTCTCATTCGCAGCCATTTACAGCCAGGGCAGATTCAGAATTCAGCAATTTTTGGCCTGGAACCAAACTTGTTTTTCATACTAGATTAGCTCACTCTTTCTTGGTACCAATCTATGAAAACTATATAATCATAAACAGAACTGAGGAAGTCAGGACTTTCAAGCATGGCATATCCATGGGCACTGAAATTTTTAATCATTACACTTTTCTTCTGGCTGCTTATTAAGTATAATACTTCAATAAAGAAAGAACAAGTTCAATGGCAAAAATAAAAGGCACCTGTGTCAACTCTGACCACTGTGCAAACACTGAAGCAGATGAGTACAACTAATAATTTAAATGCACTATGCTAAGAAGTAAAACATAACTCATGTCTCTCTTTGAAGTTTTCCTTGCCTATGACTCATGGAAAAAAAAAGCCAAAACCAGAAAGTGAACCTATTGCTATATTTCCATCCCCCAGGGTCCAACGAACTGAAGTCAAATATTTCTACCAGTGCATCCTAAAACCTGGAAATCAGGGTCGGGGGCATGGGTAGCAGGCCCTGGCTGTCCTCTGCTCCAAGAGGACCCATACCCCTTCAGTATCCCAGCTTCCAAGGCACCCTCTCAAGTGAGCTTGAATTGCTCCAGTATTAAGTTAGCAGTTGTGATGAAGAAGGATGGCTGACAGAAAATGACTAATGTCCAGTTTTTACCACAGGTCTTGATTGTAAACTAGAGGTCAGGTGGGTGCCTGAACACTGATAAATGCTTTTAGTGTCAGAAGATCTGCTTTTCAATGTGGTATGAAGAGTACCCTGCTTTTTCTGCTTCCCACAGTAAGGAGCAATAGGTGTACATTCCTCCTGCCCCTTGCAAGGAAACATGGGCTGCCTTTTGGGCTGAGCTCAGCCTGCCCAGCCAAGGCAAGGTGAAGAGGAGACGCAGGTTATGCCAAGGAGTGCTGGTTTATCAAGCAGGTCCTGACCACTGGCAGAACCCAGGTGTCAGCAGGGCCTGGCAGTGCAGGACAGGGACCCATCATACCTGTCTTTAAGCACAGCTCATCAAAGTCGAAGCAGCAGCTGTTGTAGCTCTTGCACAGGTTGTCACAGCGGCAGCCAGGAGGCTCTGCCTCTTGAAGTTCAAAGCATCTGTTTTTGCAGGAGCCAGAGGTATTGATCCAGGGGGAATCTGACAGGACTGTGTGGAACAAGAAACAGGGCAACATCTGTGAGGCTGGCAAGCGATGGGACAGGCAGCTCAGCCCTGAGCCACTCGAATGAGCAAGACCTTGGATGCTCACTCTGGGAAGGGAGAGCAGAAGAACTGCTTGAAGAAACAGAACAAAAAAAAGAACAAATTCAAAAAAAATTGTTCTTTTGGGAAAAATAAAAGGAAGCAGCATGCTGTGATAACATCCTGCAAAGAAACAGCCTTGGCTCCACCTCTGCAACAATCAAGAGATCATTAGCAGAAATGTATTGAAGTCTCCAAGGCCCCATTCCAGGAGCTGCAGCTATTCCACAGAAGCAAGCCTTTGTTTTCAGAAACCAAGTGACATTTTCATGGCTGGCTGGACAGTTTACATAGGAAAGGACTCCAATTAATCTACATGCAGACAGCAGGACTTGGTCTGCTACACTGGAAGGTGTCAAATCAATGTGAAGTGTGAAAGAAAACTTTAAAATGCTCTATAAATTAATGGAGAAATAAAGCAAGGCTTTTTGAAGGGCTTCTGCAAAGCACTAAATTACAAAAACTTTTAAAAATATGGAAGTATTTAAGAAATCAATAATTATTATGTATATCATTAAAGTCTGTCAGTCTGCAAACCATGAATAATGTATTAGACTTCAATAATCTATTTATTAGTAAGTGACCTTAATATCAAAACTGATATATGTTTGCTCTTTTCTCAAAACTTACTATTTACACTTTGTATATTTTAAGTTTTTCTTGTAGGAGAATCCTACATATCAGCTTATATGAAGCGGGAAAACTGTGTGCTGTTCTCTAAGCTTAATTGTATTTTATTGAATAAACTAAGGAATGTATGTTATCCTGTAAATATAGAGGTGTTCCAAGGAAAATTTCACAATGCCTTCAGTTCCTTGAGAGACCTATTAAAATTAAGTACTTGAAATTGTCTTGTGTTTTGTTTTCTTTTAGGCCATGGTTTGGTTTGGGTTTGGCAAACCTCAACATGATTACCAGTATGACTTTTAGAGGACTGACGCAATGGCACTTTTGGGAAATAGTTGCTCTGATATTTTCTTATGTATTTTTCCCCCTACACTTCTACATAGCTGAGAGTTTAGTTTCCACATAAACTGAAGGGAAATCTCTTCCCAAATAAGATGTCATTAACTGAACACTGTGAGAATGGATGGCAAAGATGATGAACGGGGAGTTTGGAGGTGACATTGTAGCAGCTGATGTCCCACCACCTCTCATCTCATGCACTACTGCTCCACCACTTCCCTTGGAGCGGCACTGACTGGACACCAGCACAAACCTCTTCAGGGAGTAAACCTGTCAGAAAAGCAGTGCTACAGCCAGATCATAGGTATGAAACCCAAGTGTACCATGGCTGCAGTTGTGCCTCATAGCAGGTTCAAAGCACACTCCTATAACTGCTGGAAAAGGTAGGAGCAGACAACTCCATCTTTGTGGCTTTGGGGGTTTTATTTTGATCAAGTCAGCAGCGCTCAGGGTAAGTAACATCATACACACAGTGAAATTTCACTCTATAGGTGCGTACCCTGCAAGCATGCTCTTAGTGAGCCATTAGTATTTTGGCCATCTGAAATGAGTATAGGTGCGTACCCTGCAAGCCATTAGTATTTTGGCCATCTGAAATGATGGCAGCTCTTGATAGCAGCTCTTTCCTATCAAACGCTTCTGAAAATCTACTACCAAAAAATATTTTCGTGTTATTGAATCTCTTCCACTACTTTCTTTTTTGTAAGGTAGGTAATATATAACCGCAGATCCAGTAAGCTGCAAATCAAAGGTATTAGAAACTCGAAGGTATTACATAGCAGCATATAAACCTTATCCTGGACATTACCCTTTTCATTTCAAAGGGCTGAGAGGGAGACCTTTTCAGAAGGCCCGAAAGAACCCAAAACCAACACATGAACAGGTGTTTAGGAAAGAGAAGGTGTAAATCTGACTGCAGATTAGTAAGAGACCGTTAACTGCAGCTCTAGGAATGCCTAGAGCTTCACCTGTTGTAAAGAGCAGCTCATTTGTACCAGGAAACCACCCACACAGAAGCTGTGCAATCTCAGAGCTTGAAGATTTTGAAGAAGGGCTAGGGATTTATAAGATGTCAGAAGTACTTCTGTAACAACTGCCCAGGTCGTGGGATATGAAGGTCTACATGGCTGTTCAAAATCCCTTCTAGCTCCATCTTCTATAACTGCAAGTAGGGTTTCCATTTCATGTAAGAAAGGTTTAGCCCACCTACCTTGTCTAATATTTTCACATCTCTTGACAACCTCATTAGTGATGTACCAAATTATCCCAAATCACTTAGCAAATTCAAGTCACACGTCCTGAGACAATGCAGGACACTTTCCATATCGCAGCACAAAAGAGAACTTGCTGAATTTCTCCAGTTACATTAAGATCACTCCTTTGTTTCTCATGCTTGACCTTGCCTTTGCAGCCAGACCATGATTTTCAGGTCATGCACAATGCCATGGCACAGGTACTGGTGCATGCAAAATAGTTTGAAAACATGTCATCAGGAGCTCTCTCTCTGGTGAGCACTTTCAAATTAACAGAAAGCCCTGTATAGAACAAACTCAGACAGTTTAAAATTCTTTTCAAAATTCCTGCATTCCTCCACAGCTCCTGCAGTCAGATGGCACAGCAGGCACAGGGACCTCAGCCTGAAGTATTTCACACTGTTTTCCATACATTCCTTTTATTGCCACTGAGTTCAAAACAGCCATCTAATTGTCTTCTATGTCATAGGTTAGAGAGCGAAGCTAAATAGGGCAATAGCGCCTTTGTGATTCATTTCAAGGAAGCTGTTACATTTCCATTTTAAAGGTGTTCTATTTATCTTACAAAGTGCCACCTTGAACTATTTCTTTTGATTCTGTTTGATTAAAAGGTTTAAAAATAATGAAATCAATTTATTTACAGTAGTGTTTAAAACAGGACTACACAATACAGACATGCTTACAGAGTTATTGTAAGAGAGAGACTACCTAGTAAAAATTTGTCATTTTGGCTCCCATATGGAACAACCAAATACTTAAACAAAACATCTGGAGTGCTAGTTCGGCTAGATGATACTCCTATTATGAACTTGCTTTTCAGCTTTGCAATGAGTTAAATCCAAATGGCAAGTCAGAGAAGGGAAAAAATACAAGTGTTCCAACAGAAGAAAAGCATTACTCCATTTTTAATTGCATGCTTAAAACTGCAGTGAGGAAAAACTACAATATTTCTCCTTCCAAAGCATTACATTATCCTACTGTGATCAAGAACCATGCTTCAAGAGATTACTAAGGCCATTTCCCCTTGAAAGTGCTTTAAAAGATGGCTATGAAAATTCATAAAGTAACTTACAAAGGCAAAGTTAAGGCAAAATGTAAGCTTTGGTTCTCTACTGTATCTTAAAATTTTGAGTAAAAATTTATTTCAATTAAATAATTTGTTAGGTACAAATATTCAACATCTTACGTGCATAAAGACATACATCTGTACACTGCAAAAAGAGAACAAGAAGGGGTGTTTTAGCCACTGTGGTGGTACTTTGGAGTGTATTTGCAAGGGACTAGGAAAAAAACATTATGTTTCTGGCTCACAGCAGAGTTCCATGCCTAGATGAAAATGAAAATTTGCTTACAATCATGGCATAGCTCTGGAGAAATAACAAACTGGTTTCTACAATAATGCTTGGTAAAGAAAGTGTTTCGCCAATATAAAATAATTAATTCTCAATGTCAAGATGCTTGACAGCAAAGAAGCTAAAGAATAGTGAAGCTGATAAAAAAATTATACCAATCTTTTTTTTCCTGGATATTTCATTGGACTTCTCTTCTAATGTAGTATAATTGGAAGTCATGCAATTAAGAGAGACTAAGGTTCTTTGATCATAGTGCTTTCAGTTTGCTAGAACCCCATACATCTCCAGTGTAACTTTTTACTGTCTAGACTTTACTGTGACTATACTCCTTTGTTTTGCTATGTTTTGCTATCTTTTTTTTAATGCTGCAATAAAAGTAACCAAGCTGCATAAACACAGAACGGACAAAATTCTCCATTTTCTTGTCTCTCATTATTGCACCCTTGACTGGATTACTTCAATGCCAGGTGCTGGGTCAGTTCCACCTGTAAACAAATTTTCAATAGATTTCCAAAAGTACCCCATCTCCTGCCCTTTTCAAGATATCCTGAATTTCTTCCTACTTTTGTGAAATGCTGAGCTAATCGTCCTGCTGCTGGAAGGAGCACACAGGTACTGTTCCCAGCCCTGGAGGTGATGAACAGTGCTGGCTGGCTCAGCAGAGTTGGCACCGATCAGCTGCCATAGAACCCCAATATCAGACCTCTGGGTCTTCACTAAAAACCAGCTGAGCCCTGCCCTAGACAGTTACCAGTGAAAGCAAAGCAACTGGCTCTCAGGTATTGAACTGGTTAGTTACAGGTCAGTAACTGACCCTGCTGGTCAGTTACGCTGACAGTTACCAGTGAAAGCAAAGCAACTGGCTCTCAGGTATTGAACATTTGAAATGCAAATCCTTCCCATCCCTGTCATACACACTACATACACATCTGTTCCACAGTTAACATCAGAGAAGATTTTCAGAAATGATTTTTCAAGCAATTTTTCTTTTACTGCTATAAAGACCAAAAGCAACAGCCAGTATCTTCCTCATTACCTAAAATGCCTCTACTCAGTGACCAGCATTTCAGATAGTGGCTGTGATTAGACACCAACTCCTCAATGAGGGAGGACAGAAGAACACAGATACATTACCAGAAACACAAGAAACTCTGGCCATGGCAAACAATTTTATAATTAAACCTCACAGGCTATCATTACAGACAGGCACTGCAAATGAAACCCTTTCACTTCAGTTACGTTAACCAGCTCTAAGTCAATGACCACAAGTTTCCTTTCTCCTGCCAATGGAACAGAGACACAACTCAAGCCTGCCTTTTCTTGAATAAAAAAAGACTAGTCTGGTTTACACATTTTTCCATTTGGACTATGCTTGAGCTCACAGAACCCCTATACTGCCCCACAACACAAATAACAGTTCCTCCTGTGGCATGTTCTTGCTCTCTTCCAAAGAATAAAAGCAGTAGGCATAAGAAAAGCAGAGGACTCGGTGACAGCACATCTGCACGGACACCTGCTCTCCTCTCCCAGCCCTCTCCGCCGTCAGATGTCTGCCGTCTACTGTTCACAAACCAGCATGACCTCAGGAGCCACAGAAATCCCAAAAGCTTTTCTCACCAGTGCCTCTTGAAAGCATTAATCAAGTTTCTAGAAACCGCTTCAATGCTACCAAAATAAATCCACCACCCTTAAAGCCATCAGGGAGTTTCCCTTAGTGCTAGAAGGAAGCCATGCAGAGTACAAAACACAGCAAACACTTCAAGAGCTGAGGAGACCACTCTCTGTGAGACTGGCAGTGCTCAGTCCTAAAATAAGCTAAATTTTCCACAGTCACATGCACACAGAGCAAAAGTTTAAGTAAATAGAAGACCTATAGGTGAGTCCCAAAGGTCAACTGACTCGAGCTCAGCGAGTTATTTATTCTTTTCTATATCCTAGAGGGAAAAGGAACAAGCAAAGTACTGTTACAGAGTAGGAATGGTTTCTAACCGCAGTCTATAACATAAGGGTATATGGTGATGTAAAATTTATGTCTATTACTGTACCTGACATCGGGCCCTCATCCCATTCTTCAGATCTCCTAAACCGATTTGCTGTAAATCCCATGCAGACATTTACTCCAAAGGCAAAAGCAAATAAGGATATAACCTGCAAAAGTAAAAGAGCAAAATAAGAAAACTGTGCAAGAAGCAGGACTTTTGCACTAAGAGCATAATGCATAAAGGGCAGAGATGGTCCTCAGTACATTGGAGCTCCCTAGCACAGCAGTTCCCATCACTGGAGCAGCAGCTGACAGCGTCACCGTTGGAGAGTAACACAAACCAGAAGGGGTTTATGAATAAAACATCTCTTTCTGGAGCTGAAACGCTCCTTTTTGTAGGAACTTATTCAGGAGAGACGGGCTACTCCTCCTCTAAAAGCAAACACACTCCTCTCCTCTCCTCTCCTACCTGGTGCGAGTGGACGCAGCCCTGCTTAGCCATACCAGGGAATTCTTGAAAAGCCTGCGCCCCACTGTCGCCTTTTTTTATAGTGAGCGCAGAGCTCTGTTTGCTCGGGGAGTTCAGGCTATTAGCTACGAGTAATCCCACCTGGTGAGGTTGACAGGCTCGTGTGATTTGTCCAGGGGGTGATTTCATCATGTTTCACTCACAAATCGCAGCTCCGAGTGCAAGAAGCTCCAGGCATCATCGCTCGCTGCGCCCTCCCCCCAGACGCGCACCCGCGCGCTTTTATGTGGTTTCCTCTGGCAGAGCCGGGCTCGCTTGTGCCGCTGCGGCCAAGAGCTGTTCCTGCTCGTTTTATTCTCCTCACAAAAGTAACATGCTCAAAAGAGAAACCAAATGCGGCTCCATCTGGCTCCGGGAGGAAGCGGGGGGAAGCTTGCGGGGGGCTGCGCAGTGCAGCTCTCCCGCTGCCCCCCCGAAAGCCGCTGTCAGGTGTGGCGGCCCCGGGGGCTCGGCCCGGGCGGAGCGCCCGCTCCTTCTCCGCCGGCTCCCCGAGCTCCTCACCGAGCAGGGGCCTCTCGAAACTGGAGACCCCTTCCGAGCGGGGGGCAGGGGGACATTTTTCAACCGTGTTCTCCCGTGCTGCTGTGGCAGGCAAGGCTCGTATCGATGGAAACACAAGCAGTTTCATCTGAATAGCTGGAAACCCCAGACTTCCAGAAAGGAAGGGAAATGACACGTCCCCTCTGCCCCACATTTCCCCATTTTCATCAACAACAGAAAACTTGGCTGTTTGGATAAGCACTTTTATTTACAAAGCAAATGATAATGCTGAACAGAATTACGGTTCAAATCAGTGACTTAAATGTTATTTGCCAAGGCAAATTATTTACCACTGTAGTTTGCCACTTTTTTTTCTCTGATGAAAGCTTCTTTCATGAAAGTGTTTACTAACAATTACATTTAAAGGGACAGAGTCAAGGTTTGTAAGCCCTCGGGTGGACTGAGCTTCCCTTGGGACCTGTCCCATATTCTATACTGGCATTGACAGACACAGTACAGTTTTCTTTAAAATATTTTGCAGTGTTAAACACATACAATTTTGAACTTTGTTTACAGGTAACTTTTACCTGCTGAAATAGCTCCCCCACCGTGTAGCTATATAGGACAGAGTCTCTAAAAATCCCTTTTCTTTGCAGCCCAAGTGTCAGCCTGCCAGCCTTTGGTAGGACCTGATCCTTTTTTATGCAGTTTCTTAACCGAAAGTGGCTCCATTGTGCAGCTGCAACTTTGCATTGCAAGGCTCAAGGCAATGTAATTAGCTTGAAAATTCCTACACGAGGACATTGTATTCGTTTTCCTTGCACAAACTGGGACTACGTATTCAAGACCCGTCTTCTAACGTTCACTTTATCACTAGCTGGGCTGAAAAAAAAAAAAAAGTTGCAATAGAAAAAAGCTGTGTGTAAGAAAAGTAATCATCAAAGGTTTTACCAGCTGTTCCTATAGAATTCTTTGCCCTTAGCCTCTTGTATATCCTGTGGTTAAACGACTTCATCCCCAAACACTAGGTGAGTACAGCAGCGTGTGACTGCAGAAGAAGGGGAACCTAAAGTGTCCCAAATGAAACTGCTCAACGACGTTGCCTATGTATCTTAACTAATGCAGCTCATGGTTTCAGAGCAAAATATGGGAATCAGCAGCTCCAAGCTCTCCTACAGGCTAGGACCTTCAGATGACCAAGGGACTCAAGCAAAACACAGCGGACTTTTCAAATCAGGCGGCTAATTTTGTGTAGTCAAACCAATACATGAAGTCTCTGAAATGCTGTCAGTTTCAGAGTCTTTGATGTTCCTGCATATCTTCCTAACACACAGGTCCTCAGTTTTTTTGAAAGTTCCTACAAATGTTAAAAATGGCTATTCAGAAAAAAAACCCTTAACAAAGAAAACAAAAAAATGTAGCATTATGAATGACTTCTACCCATTTAAACATACATACTTCATTCTTCCATGCATTTAATATCTCTAAAGCTTGTAAACTTCACAATTTCACATAAATGGAAGAACTTATTTTGTTTCCTAGTTCATGTTACAAGTGTATTAAATTAATTAGGCTCATTTATAATGTCCTTTAGAACTATAGATGATGACTCTGAAATGGCTAATCTTTTTCATCTGTGTTATGTAAGACATTTTCTAGTAGCTCTGAACTGAACACAGTCAGATGCACAATGTTCTTTTTGTCTCAAGGATTGTGCCTGAAGCTATCCGACAGATTCAAAAGGAACTTATTAGCATAAACAAGGTCTAATGATTTTGTTCAGGAAAAAATTCACTGTTGATCACTGGCAACTAATTTTTCAGCAACTAATTGCCATTTTACTAATCAGAAAAGAAAGGACTAAAGCTGAAATAATGTATTCCTGGCCCAAGAATTCAGCAATTCAGTGGAAGTTTTAAGGCTTAAATGAAACACGTTAAAAAGGAATTTTAACAAGATCATCAGAATATGAAATGCCTCTTCCTCAGTTTTTGTGAATAAAAATTGTCCTTTGGCTTTTCAGGCTTGTATGATTACAGTGATTGTTTAACACGGGATGCAAAGCTTACAAGGAGGCACCAGATGGCGCCTCACGGGAGACGCTCGTGCTGTGCCATTTCCAGTTACAAACATTCACTGAGTCGCAGAATCGTTTAGGTTGGAAAAAAGCATTAAGATCACTGAGTCCAAACCCCTGTCCACCACTAAACCACGTCCCTAAGTGCCACACCTAAACGTCTTTTAAATACCTCCAGGGATAGTGACTCCACCAGCTTCCCTGGGCAGTTTGACAACACTTTCTGTGAAGAAATTTTTCCTAATATGCAGTCTAAACCTCCCTTGGTACAACCTGAGGCCATTCTGTCTCATCCTGTTACGTGCTACTTGGAAGAAGAGAAAAAACTCCACCTGGCTGCAGCCTCCTTTCAGCCAGTTGTAAATAGTGATAAGGTCTTCCCTGAGCCTCCTTTTCTCCAGGCTAAACAGCCCCAGCTCCTTCAGTTTCTCCTCATCTGTGCTCCAGACCCTCGTCTATCTCTGTTTCCCTCCTCTGGACATGCTCCAGCTCCTCAATGTCCTTTTTGAAGTGAGGGGCTCAGAAGTGAACTCAGGATTCGAGTGCCAGGTCACTGTCCTGGTCCTGCTGGCCACACTGTTTCTGATCCAGGCCAGGATGCCACTGGCTGCCTTGGCTACCTGGGCACACACTGGTTCATGTTCAGCCACTGCTGGTCAGCTCTCCCAGGTCCTTTTCTGCTGGGAAACAAACTGACTGGGGGGGTGCCCTCAACCCTCTTGTCCAGGTCATCATTAAAGGTATTAAAAATAACTGACCCACTACTGAGCCTTGGAGACTGGATACCAGCTGGATTTAACTCTATCACCACTCTCTGGGCCCAAACATCCAGCCAGTTTTTTAATCCAGTGAAGAGGGCACCCATCCAGCTCGTGAATAACTAATTTCTCCAGAAGAATGCTATGGGAAGTGGTATCAAAGGCTATTCCATAGAGTCAGTATAAGCAAGGCAGTACTTACAGTCTTACATAAACTCGTTTTTCTTGAGCAGTTTTTCTAATGAGAAAAGGAATGCAGAGAAATCAAGTATACTGGCTGAGTTGGGGATGGAGTGGACTCCAATAAAATGAACCTTTTCAGCTACTCCTGTCAACTTTGCACTGGATGCTGAATGCATGGGATGACTGGGGAACCAGGGTGAAAGCCTCCAGTAGGGTTGACAGCAACATGAAAGACAGAAAGGTGAAGGACTTCTCTATAGTGCCTCAGAGCTCTCCTCCTCCCAAACACAGCATCCATGTATGGTTGTGGCCAAGAAAAACAGTCAATTGAGTGTACAAAATAGTAATTTCAAGGAACAAAACCATTGGACAAAACATAGAAATTCAAGTTGTATCCACATCAATCATGCTCAGGTACAAGCACTGGGAAACCAAATGAACTTCCAACAGCCAGAGTGAGCATGGGAAGAGTTAAGTACCTTACTGAAGACACCCTGAGTCTTAACAAAGTCAAAGAGGCACAACTTACCAAGTAGAGCAGATTCTTGTGTATAAAGGACTTTAAACCACTCTTATATTACAGACTGAGACTGGTTAAAGTTGGAAGGGACCCCTGGAGGTCATTTAGTCCAACATCCCTAATCAAACAGGATTCCCTAGAGCACATTTCTAAGGATGGTGAATATACCCAGAGAAGGAGACTCCACAGCCTCTCTGGGCAGCTAGTTCCAGCTTGCTCCAGTCACTCCCACAGTAAGTTCTTCCTCACATTCAGGTGGAACTTCAGAAGGCACAGGACTGACTGCCGAGGAGCTATGCCCTCTGCTACCCCATGAGCCTGGGGAGACCCACAAACCAGGCTGTGCTGACATGAAAGTACACCCTCCTCACCGCAGTTTCTCAAAACACCACCAGTCTTCAATTATCTGTCTGCTCATCACTGCCCTGAGGGGAATGGTATGCAAATCATAGTGCCTGGTGCCCTGGAGGGCTGTGCTGAGGATGACTTTCTTGGCCAGAAAGACCCATAAAGCAGTGCCAGACCCTCAGGGACAATCATGGACAAATTAAAGTCTTCAAAATTGCAGTTTGCTGCAGCCCAGCCCCTGAAGCACAAGTGCCTTAAGCACATATAGGCCC